GAATGATTTGTATCACAGTCTAGAAATCCTGAGCCTGTTTATGTTACAACAAAAACTGTTTTTAAAGCAGCCAGTATTAATATCAAAATGAAAATGAAGGCTTATTTATACCTTCTTTATAAAACCTGTTTTTTGTAAACTTAATAATTTGCAAATTAATGTATCCAATTAAAAGATACAAGAGTAACTTGTATCAGTCTAGAAATCCTGTGCCTATTTCATGTTACAACACCACTGTTTTTTAAGGTACCTGCATTAATAACAAAATTAAAATGAATGAAGGCTTATTGCTATCTTTTTTTTTACCTCTTTTTTATAACTTATGCTTAATAATTTAAAAATTCATGTACTTTCTAAAAAAAAGATACAAGAATGATTTGTATCAGTCCAGAAATCCTATGCCTGCTTCATATTACAACACCACTGTTTGTTAAGCTGCTAGCATTAATATGAAGATGAAAATAAATGAGATGAATGAAATGCTTAGTACACGTCCAAGTGTTTTTTACAACCTGTTTTTGAAGCTTGCAATCCAAACAATAGCCTTTTTAACAATTATTCACTGTACTATACCTCTAACCGTGAGCAGTTAAAATCCATTCTATTGAAATATTCACTTTTTATTTCTGTACATATTCTAAACAGAAGTAAAAATAAATCCCTCCACTTTAAATGGAAACATATGGATAGTAGCCTGGTATAGTTTCATTTACTTATTTGACCAACATTTGCAAAAACAGTGACAATAAAATTTAATAAATGTTAAAAAAAACCAAAAACTGAAATGCTTGACAGGGGTAGCAAAGTACATTGCTATAACTCAGATGAGCAAGCTACCCCTTAAGTGTAAATATTTTTTTTAATGAGATGAAATTATACACAATCACCAATGTTAGATGTATTATTAAAATACGTCTAAAATTAGATATACAATTGGGGATACACAGATGCCTAAAGAATGGCGCAAACGTAAACATCCAATTTACTATGCTTCATTATTGCTATAAATGTTCATCTATACTTCCGGTAAATCAATGCTAATAAAGCAGGCACATTCGCTTGCATACACAGGCTACACATAAGTGTAAGTGAAATTCTATTGAGAATTATGCACATTTCTAACAAGTCAGTTATCATCAATAATAGTAATAATAATAATAAAACAGTTAAATTCAAATGTACATGACTTGTGTAAGAACAGTGACATGTTAGCATCAGTTACAATGGGAATATATCAAATTATAAACAGTAAGTTAAAGGTTTCCTGGGTTTTAAAGACAGTTGAGAAGTGAAAGAAATATCATTCTGATAGTATCACATTCCATAAAATCAATATTAAGTTAAAATGATAAATATCACCATTAAAAGTGATATTAATTAGAGTTGACATTTCCTTCAAAATGTGTTGATTCTATCATGACTTGAAATTATATTATATTCTTTTTCAAAGAATAGATGATTTCTTTATGCTGCAACCAAATTATAAATCAACCTACAAAAATATCCTTAGTTACAATGTTACACATACATACCCATACCCATACCCATGATGACAATGAAATAAATGTGGAACAACAATTTTTTTTGTTGAACTATAAATTTTAACGTTTATTGATGATTTCATGTTTGACTCTTCATTATAATAAAATTCTAGAAAAATTCCTATAGAACAAATGTTTCATACTAATAACCATCAATCATATCTACCCAAAGGACACATGGAACTTGTTGGGAACATTAAAAGATTCCCAACATGGATGCAGAGATATTATTATATTATTAATAAATCAATCATAATTTAGCATATTACATTATTATTAACGTGGCTGCTTTTATTGCCACACCAGGCTTGGTTAAAAGAAAAAGTTGGTGTCCCTCGGACTATGAAGTATCCGAAAAATGCCTACAGCACCAAATGTTACGTGTATACTTTAAATTTGCCCAGTGACATTCAGATGCACAATTCCTGCACTACTGTGCACTACAACTCAGCATTGGTTGTCTAGAATTTTTTCATTTTTTAACTAATAAGATTTTCCCCTTGAGTTATTAATGTTGTTATCACTGGTAATAGGACATTGTCATAATGTTGTTATCACTGGTAATAGGACATTGTCATAAAATCTTTTTGTTACTTCATTGCTATCATTTGTAAAATGTATTCAATACAAGTCCTATGGCTTCCTTGATATTGCGATATTTTAATGAATAAGGTAAATAATGGCAGGCACTAGGAGACACGGATCAATGTACACAATGTACTTTACCGTACATTCTTTGTAAACACAATTTGAAATACAAGTGAAAATTTACTACTATACAATTATAAGTCACTTGCATCTATTATGGTGTGTTCCAGGTCAGAGTTTATTGGACCTCTATAGGTCAGAGATTATCAGAATAGGTCAGAGGTTATTGGACCAAAAAAAAATTGGATGACAGATTGACACAAATGTTTATACTAGGCATAGTACATCATACTACTGGTCATTTGTAAATGATCGGTCATTTACAAACAGACAAGCATGGAATTCTTAATAAGGGATTCTTAATTTATTAATTTCTACTAAAGTTAATCTGAAAAAACAAATGTGCATGCTACAAGCATATATCATGGTTATTAATTATGAGACTTATTCAAATAATGATCCTATTCATAAACATTGAGTGGGTGGGTGATCAATATTTATACTTTACTTCTTCTGATAAATCACATAATAATTACCATGTTGCCTTAATTATCACTCCTATTATACCGTAAAACTTTGAATTGAAGCCCAGTGGGCTTAATCTCGAGATGAAGCCCCCTCTTCAGTTTGGAAAATTAGTCTCAAAAAGAAGCACATGGCCTTCTTTTCAAGATAGCATAGACTTTTTTTCAAGGTAGTCAATATATACACTGTACATGAATTTCAAGAAACAAAATACATTAAAAACAATCTTGGTTTAAACAGTAGTTTAGGTGATTTAATTGATTTATAATACAAATTCACAAAATTTACAGCACTCATTTTGAAAATAAGCCCACCCCCTCTTTACTTTGTAAATGTAGCCTCGAAAAGAAGCCCATCTAAAGGTCGAAAAAAAAGAAGAAAAGAAGGCCAGGGCTTTAATTCGAGGTTTTATGGTATCCACTAACAATTATAATTATACTTGATTTTAAAACATTTACAGGAAATAAATGGTGCACCAAACATGATTTATTTATAGAGCATTTATCAGATCGCTAAATCCTGCAAACTTCTAAAAACACACTGCAAACCCCATTCAAACCCCTTGATAGTGATTGGATAATCTAATGTAGGACTCACTAAAAATTAAATAGTTAAATATTTATATTTGGTGTGTACTTTCATGTTTTTTCACCAAAAAATCTACATTTTACCCCAAATATAGGTTGTTATGAAAATAAAATTGTTTCATTATTTTATTGAGATACCAAGTTAGTCCTATAATAAATGATCCCATCACTATTAATGGATTGCTTGTTTTTGGAGGTTTGTGGTTTTACCAAAAAATATGTTATGAATTTTTTTTTTTTTTTTATTGACATACCATGTAAGCCTAATTCTTGCATAATACAATCATAATCAAAAGGTTTTGATGGGGTTTGCGATATGTTTTTGGAGGTTTGGTGTGTATTTTCAGGTTTTTGGTTTTTTTTAAATCAATATTTTACTCCAAAAATAAGTTGTTATAAAAATAAAATTTTTTTTTTTTTTATAAACATATCAAGCCAGCCTAATCATCCATGATACAATCATAATCAAGAGATTTGGATGGGGATTGCAGGGTGTTTTTGGAGGTTTGCTGGATTTAGCAATTTTTTAAAACAAAAATATGCCTTTTTAACCCAAAAAAGATGTTGTTATAAACAAAAAATTATTTTAATTATTATTGAGATACAAAGCGAGTCCTATACTACATGATACAATCATAATCAAGAGGTTTAGATGGTACAGGGCTATGTAGTCCGCTCACTGTGAAATATTCATTTGAAGTGATTTCCGAATGAAAACATGACTATATAATGGCCAAAACGAGTGTTATTCTCTTCATAAAATCAAAAAGTGCCCCCAATGAACATTTACTGAAGTGTATGCCTGCAGCAGAAGCATGTACAGATCAAATGTTATAGCTTGGCTGAATACGATTGATATTTCTTGCTTTAAAATTTATTTTATGTCCTGTTATTTGTGTAAATGTTTTCTTTCTTAGCCGATATAACATTTTATATTACATTTGAAGACTTTTAAATACAACTTTAGGTGTTTTTATAGTTTTATACTGTAGGCATACATAAAAATTACAAAGATGCAAAATGGACATAACCATGAGTGATACTGAACATCTCTGTATGAAAACCAAGTCCAGTAAACCACCTCAAAAATCATGTATACGGTGCACTCTCAGTTTATCTCCTTCAAGTACTTTATTTTTGTCTGATTGGCTGCAGACAGAACACAACTGCCAGTTCAGACACTGGAAATATATTACATAGTTCTCGTCAACAGGCCGCTTGCTATTTTAAGCGACACATCAAAAAAATTCATCTTTTTGTTTTTTATAAAAAATACGCCGACGTAAATAGTCAGGAAGTACAGTCTGATACTTTTGCTTCAATTCTGTTATATTTCCATGAAAATCCGACTCACCTCACTGTGAAACGCACTAAAACCATTGTGTACGTTGCAACATGTTTAATCGATCACAGAGTTTATATAATAGTCGCGTGTCTATTTCAAATAGATCACAGAGTGTATTTAGTCATGTACCTATTTTAAATAGACACACGATCTATGACCAATACTGTGATGAAAGATGAAAGTTGACAAAAATTCCTCATCAATTTTTTGAGAAGTGCAGATGAGAACCATGTAATGTATTTCCTGCAGCCTTAGCTGATAAGAGCTAAGGGAATACCACAGCAAGAACAGAATTTGCAACAAATAAACTATAGAAATTCTTATTGAATGTTTTTGACACAAATTCTGTTAATACATGCTGTACACACTGCTACTAAGTGACCAAATTCAACTCTGGAGAAAACAACATTCCTAAAACAGAACAATTTATTAACAAAATGGTAAAATAATTTGAAGAAGCAGGTATTATAGACAGGTTTGTAGCTATAGAAAACTAAGGGTGGGTGGGTAATAATATTGATAAACTATAAATAATAAGAGTGAATTTTAAGGATGGGCAAGAGAGTAAATAAAGGTGAAATTTGCTTTACACTGGGTGGAAAACCTCAAGGCTGGGTGGGCCAGCCCATCTCTGCCCACCATAACTACATCCATGGTGGAACAGCTACTCATACTGCAAAACAGGGTCTGCACCCCTGCATTATTAACACAACTAGAAATCATATTTCCACAGATTTTGCAGAAAATTAGGCCTTGTTTTATTATACAACTGATTTACTAATATTACTATGCAGTTTACCATTCTGCGCTCCTACTGTACATTACCTTTTCTTTATATACTCCCCAAACAAAAATGAAAAAAGCTTTTTACACTAAGCTAAGTGTGGAGCCTTTTTTCAATTTAAAATATTTAATTCTTAAAATATGATCAAAATTTTGAAAATACAAATTACAAGTATTTATAAATCTATGAAGAAATAAGATTAATTAAATCCCAGATGACCCAGCAAGGAGGCAATAATATAACCATCACAAGAAACTCATACAAATTAATCAATTTATTATTAATTAGAATGCACAACCAACATGCTATGTTGAATACAAAATACTTATCAAGTACAAAATATAACACAGAACTGGATAGCCTCCTGCAGCTAAATCCACAGTCAACTTTCAACAACAAATCAAAACATTAGGTTTATGGTAAATTAATTAGATTTTCTCACTTACCTGGAACGCTCCAGCATCCATCATTGCAACGTTTGGTAGTGACCCACCTAATGCATTTGATTGTAACTGTGGATGTATTGCGCCACGAACACTATACATTGGCGCCGGAGGTTCCTAAAATCGAGAAAATACACTTTTTTACTAGGCCCAGCCAGATACATAAACATGCGCATACCAACGAAATCCAACATGGAGGAAGGATCGGAGCAACCTGGGCAGATAGCCAGGCTTAAAAAGAAGCCTATAGAAAAGTCGTGTCTAATTTCATCGATTAAAGCCATTTATCTACACTTGCTTGTACTTACTCTGTTTATATTGGATACATCTTTCATTATTTTATCAAAGGCAGCATTTCCTTCAGCTTGCCTTTGAGCATGTAAGGCAATTTTCTCACTAAATTTACGCGGGCTGGATGTCATTTTGTCTTTTCCATGAACCTACAGAGTACCGAAGATGTTGTCATTTTTAGCTATTATCGCAGGGGTCGCCTCTCATCCAATGACAGTTCGCCAATGGTGTCATGTGATTTCAAGGCTGCTTCCGTATGGGAATGGGTCAATCATTGACCCCTTTGAAAATACCGCGCTCTTGTTTTTATTAATTTCGTAAATATTAATTATCTGAAAAATATGCAATATCGAAGCATTAAAATGAGATACATTATCAGGTTAGCGTATGCAGTTAAATGACATCCAAAATATCGCAGAGACACTGGCTAAACTTACAACTTCCGAAATACAGTTCATTTAATGAATGATGCATCGTTGCCTGAAAAAAGTCTAGTATCAATATTAATTATATTAAAATGAATAAGTTTATTTGGGTCAGATAAGACGGTTGTGTGTCAAAATTCATTATGTAGAGCTCTTTTGTGATCATCATGTCTAATAGACATTTATGATTTATAATTTTAATTCTTATCAATCTATAATACATTTATAAAAAGACAGTTCTTCTACCTCCGTTGGTAGGACCGTGTTCACACACTACTTCTATAATCGGCTACATCATACGTCAGCTGAAGAATTAAACTGATTGTATTTAAAAATAAGCTTAGTATAAGATAAATCAGAATCATTAAAAACTTAATAAATTTTAACTTGAACTTATTTCCGGGCTTCTAATATTTAGCGAGGAAAAACATCTTTATTAAAATTTATTATTGGAAGCTGGAATTACTTATTAATTTACTTTTATTTAGTTTCGGTGACGAATCGCTGCAATGAAAGCATACATCAATGAGCCAATCATGAATGAAAAGAATGAAGGATGGAAAGGCATACGATACGATACGATATACTGACATACTCTTTATTCTCAAAATATAATGACGATTATACCATGGAGAAAATATATTAATTTATGTTACATCTTAATATAATTTTCTCATGATTACTCCGTATATATTATGTGTCCGTATAAAATTCCAGGTATAAAGGAGTTTCTCTAAATTATTTAACAATTATAATTTACCTACCATTTAAATTTATTCGTTATCAGAATTAATTAATTATTAGCATACTGTCTATATCATTATTGTGTTCTTTTATTTATTTATAATTATTTCTAATTTATTACAAAAAAAATAGCAGTTATTGCTCAATCGCCAATTTTTGTTAACGATATGAATGGTAGATAAACCTCTATCAAAAGAAATATGAAACTTCATGACAATTATTATTCTTTCAATATGAGACAAAACATGTATATTAATCTTATAATGAAATTAAATTAATAAGTACAGTATAGAAATTGGATTTTAGCCAACGAATAAATTAGAGCATTACTTTTTCTCAACTTGCTTGGCGCCACCAATGGTGAAACCGTAACAACAAGGACAATTCTTAGCCAATCCGCTTGCATGTTATATGAAGGTTGAGTTCGGATTTCAGCTGCGTAGGATAGGCCAAGTCTAGGGTTTGGGCTTTATTTGTAGCATGTGGTGATTCCCCTTTCTGCTTTCCGTACTACTATCTGAACTTGGAAGCATTGTTTCAAGCCCAGGTAACAAGCTCACAATTCACCCTAAAAACTTGGTATTATAAACAATAGCACATTAATGAAGGAAAAAACTGAACCGAAGTGTGTTGTTATTTGTAGCTCTTGTTTAGAAATAGGTACTTGATTTTTCTTCAGCTAAGCTTCACTAAAAATACGCAACACACCGGCTAAGCCTAAGAACCTAACGTAAACACTACTACTACATTCAGGCGTGGTGACACCATATTTCTGGTTTGTTATAAACCCTGTTTCACTCACAGTTTGTTGTGATTATATCAGACGTAGTTAGTCTCACAGTAATTCGCCAGATTTCGGATTTACTCTGAAATTAGTGATTTGTTTTGGTGTGCAACAACAGGTCAAACTGGTGAAATATCAGAGCTGAAAACTAAAAATATTTGATAGCTCCGAAACATGTAAGAATAGTTTAGATATTGTGCATAATCTGTCTATCTAACTAGGCACAAATTCTTTATAATTATGTTTTTGTTATCCAACTTCTCCCTCTTTTCAGTGCTGTTAAATACATGTTATATCAGTCTCAAGATTTAACATTTTTAAAAGAATGGAATGTCCCCATCTGTTGGAAAATGTAAAGGGATATGAAATTGTTTGTAACAAGAAAATCAAGAATGAAAATGTACAGAATTGGACTTGCTCAGGTAGGTTTAGGTACTGGCCTACATTATAATAATATAGCCCAAATTTGTTGTTTCGTTGTTACATGTTATAGTCATGTAGTCATATGTAAATCTATCCGGGAAGCTAAACAAAGTTTTAAAATGGATATAGCCAGCTATATCCAATCCTAATTATGGAAAAGCACCATGTAAAATTCTTATCTGAGGATAAATTTTCATGGTCCCACATATAAACATGTTGAGTTTGATGATTAATAAATCATAAACTTTAAAAAATAGATATTCCTATACAATCACTGCCATTGTTGTGATGCAGAGAGCTGTCCTACTTCAATACTTATTTTTTTCATAAAATGAGGGTAAATCTACACTCAGCCAAATCATCTTCATCATTTTCATTGTGTTTGCTTAGACGACAGACCCGCTGGTCTACAAACCTTCCAGTAACAGTCACCAATATTGTTAATTTTATTATGCGAGTTGACACTGTAAAGCTTACTGAATCATGAATCACTGAATCACTGAATTCACTGAGCTAAAATAAGTCAGTGGGAACAGGTACCTCTATCATGGTGGGTAACAAGACCACTGTGTAAATTAATTGGTGCTATAATAAGATAATCTTCCTGGTATAGACTTATAAACTAGGAAATGTACACAGAATTTCAGAAGAAAATCAAACCTCAACTGAAGAATCTGCTATCTATAATTAATAACTAAATACCTATTAATCATTACCTGTAAATGACATTTTATCACCATTGTTGAAAAATACCTTGAGCACTACTAACATGTTTACCATATGTCAATTTCCACATATCCAACAAATTACATATATGCATATATTATACATGGGCATTAATTTATATTCGTACCACATAAATAAGGAATGTATTACTAGAGCTTTTTCCTTTTAATTGTTCATGCTGTAATGAATTGCATTTTAACCATTACATTAACCATAATTTTAGTTAAACTAATTTTTTTGTGAAATAATACATTTTTCAAAAAACCAATTAAACATGATATTTGTCTATAACATTTTTAAATGGATTTGTTTTTATAGTTTGCAGGTCAAACAAAAGTCCATGGATGTGTGTAACATGTTGTCTTGTAGGATGTGGAAGGTATGTTTTAGCATTAAACCATGCAGCTATAATAATCTTCATCATTAAGAGATTTATCATTGAACAATGGCCTTCTCTCTTTTGTGTTTTACTGTTAACTGATCACGCTACTATGCAAAGGTCATATAGAGGTCATACAGGCTAGTCTATTATTCAGTCACCACTACAGTAAAATATATCTGTATGTGGGTGGATAAAACAAGCATTACATAAACTATGCAAAAGGTAGTTTTTTAATATAGATGAATCCAAGAAGAATGGCGCCCTCTGTTGTCGACACCATTACTGGGGAGTGCGGGAGTCGTCCCTAAACCTAGACCTAGGCCTACTCCTAAAATGGTGTCTGGTTATAAACACAGTACCATTGAGAAATCCGGCTTTTTATTTTGCAGCTGAATAATGCCATCAGTCTTCAAACTAAAAATTTATGAAAGTTATGTTCTGAACTTGATCCTTTTATACTATACACACCTAAAACAAACTTAACAACATCTGTCCCCAAAGGTTTTTATGCATTTTCACATCTTCTCTGGAACCAACTTCCCACCACCATCCGTAATGCTCCAACTCTTTCTGAATTCAAATTTCTTCTTAAAACTCACATTTTCCATAGTTCTTACTTTTAAGCGCTGTGCTGAGCGCTATATAAATGCTTGAATAATATTATTATTATAAGTATAGTTCGTGTATTTAAACATCTTCCAACTTCGGAAATGCCACCCCAGTAATGACGTCGACAAAAGAGTGTGACGTTCAAAAAGTTCTCTTGGAACGTCTATGGTATTATTTGATAAAAACTTTTGGAAATATTTTAAAAAGCAATTTTTGAGAGATTCAATCATGTTAAATTTGATATAAAAAGTTGGTAAATGATATTTTTTTGCTCATCAAAACTTAAAAGGACAAAAATGAAGTTAGGCATTGACATTACCCTTCGTCACCACCACCAACTTCACTATTTGATTTTATTTGGCATTCAACAATAAAAATACATTTATACAAAAATATATAAATATATAAAAATACAATTAAGAAAAAATGGTCACAATAAAAATTATTTAAAACTACAATTCAACAATAAAAGAATGATTATTATAAAAAATAATACATAATTTTAAAATTTTGATTTTCAAATTGATCTTCAAATTCTATTGCCACCACTATCATTACCATCAATATCATCAATATCATCAACAAGACCAACTTCACCAATGACCACACCCCATCATCATCATTTCCATAATCACTATTGTGTCATAAACTTCATCATGAAACAATTATGATAATCCTGATAATGATTATAACATTTGATATTGCTATTTAGCCAACTCTACAAAATATATTTTTACTTTAAAATAATTTTCAGATATGTAAATGGACATTCAAAAAATCATTGTGAAGATAGCACACATCCTGTTTGTATCAGCTGTGACAACTACTCTGTGTTCTGGTATGTTTTTATTTATGCAACAAAGTTATTCACAAAAGTAATGCTGGTTCATACCTAATAGCTTTTACTCCACTGAATTGCATGTCTACGTATTAGTTCCTTTAATAACTACAGTAGTTTATCTAGCGTATGCCAACCCCCATGAAAATATATATAATTGGGCCATTTCCAGGGCTGGGAATTTTGTGATCATGAAAAAAATTTTTTAACTTTATAGGGATATCTAATCAAAAGGCAACCTTTCATCATGGGTTGGATTTATTTGGTGTAAACACCAAGGATTACCCATGAAAGTCCCAAGAAGACTTATTTTGCATTGGGTTCTTGTGGTGGTGAGTGGGCGGTACACTGGGAGACAATCCCCTAATCTTTTCCGAAGAGTTTACTGCTTTAACATGCACATGGGCAATATTGCGGGACCAACGGCTTAAACGTCTCATCCGAACGACGGTACGCTATTAAAACCTGCATTTCAGCCCTCCATTTGAATTACAAGGAGGGCAGTGATGGGAAATTGAACCAGGGACCAAGATATCTCCATGGTTCAGTGCATACACAGTGGCTACCACCAAAGATAATAAAAAAAAGTTAGACCAGGTCGCGATATATAGTGGAACTTAAACTCAAAATGCTTTGTTGGAGGATGGGGTCCATAGAGAGAGCAATTTTACTGTATCTTTAATTCTAAGACAATCTATAATTTATATATTCTGTAAGTAATAGTAAAAATCAGCAGAGCTAATCATTGAAATCATACCATGGGCCTTTGCCTGGGAGAATGCCAGTACATGAAAATAGATGTAAAAGTATGGGGTGGGCTTATTCTAAGGTAACTATGTTAACTTTTATATAATTAATGATTGTGCTAAATTCTTAATATATTTTGCATCAAACATCATTCTTTTTTATGATATTTGTACAATTGAAGAAAGACAAAAGAAATGGATTGACCATGTAATGAGACTCGGATCATTAGGCTCTAGACTAAAGCAGGGCACTTAGTGTGCCCGTCGATCGTCTAATGCTCACAAGTAGTGGAGTTAGGTTTGTTGGTCGTATGACCATCAAACATTGCAGGAAGTGCCTGACTTAAGAGGTGGATCTCAGGAATAGACTTGAGTTTACTTTCAACCTACATAGAAACTTAATGGGCGAACTCAGTGAAACAAGATAGTATAATACATACTCCAAATATCGAAATGCACGCCTACCCGATGATGACATAATTAATGTTGAAATATTGAATCCCGACACAATGGCGTACATTTCGATACTTGGAGTATTTATTATACTATCTTATCTGAGATTAATCAGTGGCCCTCTCTGTTTTAGTGAAACAAGGTTCTAGTATCCGTAGTTGGCGGAATAATTCATTGGACAACAAAAGAAGACGACGATCAAACAGCACAAAAATCTACTTGCTTTTTTTATGGTTTTGGCTTGACAAAGTATTGAATGACCAGCTAAAACCTTACCTCAATAACAGGAAGTAAAATTGATAATGTTTTTGTTTAGTGAAATATATATTTATATCTTTATTAAAATATCATTTATTTTTGCAGTTACAAATGTGATGAATTTGTTGTGAATGATACCAAAACAGGTGGAATACAACAGATACGAGTATATCTCCAGGAGATTAATAGGTCAGTCATTAGTATACGTACAAGATACATTTTATAATCACAATTGGAGTGTAGTATCATTTCACTGCTACATAGAATTATCTCCGTACTTCAGATTGCTCTCTCTCTCTCTCTCTGGCCGACTTCAAATCCATTTTAAAATCTCTTTTATTTTTTCACAATGAATCTATGCATCATTGCTTCATCATTTTCAGAAGCAAGCTTAATTTTATTTTGACAGGTGGTTTATAAATGTATCGATTTGATATTAATAGAAATAACAATGTTATATATTTAAGGCTCTTAAAATTATTCATAGCTTGATGATTAAGGCTTTCCAAGGGTCATAGGTTCAAATTCTGTAAGATGCTATCATTTATACTCATGACTAAAAAACAATTCCAATTCTTGAACATTGTAATGAGACTTTATTTATAGAGGATGACATTATTCAATTTATTTAAGAGAGTCCTGAATATGAGTTGTCCTCGAAAATTAGATGATATCAATAGTCTTCCAAAGTTAGAGGTTGATATGTTTAATTGCAATTAAATTATGATCCATGGTTTTAATAGATATCAAAAAGCTTAATTTTTTTTAAACCATTGTATATACAAATGTATATATGAACATATACTCTCATCTACAAACAAAAGGCTCTAGTTACAAAGACTTTCTAAAGTACATGTGGTCCTACCCAATATAATTAATATTCACACGGATAACTTCATACCTTCAATCGTCTGCAATTGATATGCAGACTATGAAGATATGCATGATGCCACTTCTTAAACATTGTAATGCGACTGAATTTATATACCAAGACATTATGTAATATTTTTAAGAGAGCCCTGAATATAATTTGACCCAGAAAATTGGGTGAAATCAATAGTATTCCAATATTTATTCCAAAAATGTGTTTATTTCTTACACCCAATACCTGTCTTTTTTTGTTTTTTTTTTAAGAATAAGATTTTAAATAACATGAGATATGATGTACTTACTGCAGAGAAAACAAGTTTTTTTGTTGTTCTCTTCCTTAGTGCTTTGCATGACCGAAAAGTGAAACGTGGGGCAGAGTCTTCTGAAGAAAATCAGCCACCTCGAAAAAAGAATTCTTCAAATTCTGTAAGTCTACTTAATATAAATGCAGAATTTTTTTTTTTTAGAATTACGGTATGGTGGTTGTAACACGCCCATGTGTATATCTAGGTTTAGTTGCACATGGATACACATGCTTATGAGGATCTTCGGAGCTTCTCTAGGAATTTAGAGACTTATTGCCCTGTGAAGTAAAAAAAAATGCTGGAGAGAACTTATACATAAGAATGATTTAAAAAATGAGGATTATATGATGATAATTGATTAAAAAATGATACTGTAGTACAACAATTTCATTTATTTTCCTTCTCCCACTTTTTTAGGTTAGGTTAGATAGGGTGATTGTTTGGGAACACCATTTAAATATGCTCTTTGAGTTTCTTTGGTCTTTCCTTTTCATTCAATTCCAATTGACTAATTATTTTACTTGTATTTTTATGTGTTTTGAGAATGAATAGATTAAATTGAATTTGAATTTGAAAGGAACAAGTGCATTTATTCATTTCACTATAAAAAAATTTAAAAATTTGTTGACAGAAATTTAGGGATTATGCAAAGACTGTAGAAATTATATTATATATACTTATTTATTTTAGGCAAACGGTGTGTCTATGAGAATAGATATTTATCCTGGTTACTTCTTTATTATGTTCTCGCATAATTTATTATTCTTTTCTCATTCTTATCACATGATTTGTTATTTTGCCTTTGTTAATGTCATGGTTGAGCTTCCACCTGTATTTCAGGTCAAGGCCAAGTTTCCTGGGCTTCGTAACCTTGGTAACACCTGTTTCATGAATGCTGTGCTCCAGTCATTGAGGTATGTAGAAATAGAAAACATGTACAAAACAGCTGAATAAAATTATTTGCATTCTGTTTGGATGTCTCAACGTTCAGCAGTGTAAATTCGTAATGAAGACAAAATAGTTTGTAATATCGATTGAAGCTTTAAAATGAAGATGTGAAAAAATATATATATCACCATCTATTTTATGATAATATTTACCGCAAAATATATTTATGTGCTAAATTTATATAGCGCCATTTTCATAATGCATGCTGAATAATGACAATTGCGAAAAAAAATAAGTAATGACTGGATCTAGAACGCTTTTATTTATTGCACAAACTTTTGATGGAATGAAAGAATTCCATAAAACCTTATTTACACGTGGTTGGTAACCTCTCACAAACACAAATCAATAGTTTTGTCCTATCTCTTTTGAATTTTCTAGCAACATTCAAGACTTTTGCGGTTACTTCAAACAATTACCGGCAGTTGAACTACGAAGCGGCAAATCTGCGGGGAAAAGAGTTTACAATACACGTAATCTAAAGCAGGATGATTTGTAAGTCATATAGTGTCAATGAGAAATGTGAAAATAAGGATGAGAATGGGATGGATTAGATTTCTTTGTGTAAATAATCAACTAAAACCTGAAGAGTTCATGGGTTGGTCCAGGGGATAAATAGGGTGGCTAGCCACTCCCACCCTTCCGAAAAAAAATCCCTAGAACAAGTCCTCTGACCAAGTACTAGAAGGGGGATATGTCCACTCATTTGGTCAATTCATGGATGCAACTCTTTCAAAGTTAGGCCCTATTGCTCAATCCATGCCACTACTAATGTAACCATTCTCATCATCTTCATCATGTTTCATATATTGATGCAGAAAAAAATATTTGAAGAAACATAACATCATCAACAGACCTCTCAGAATGTGGGAAAGTGTATTTCCAGGCCTCTAAGAAACACACATTTTCTGAGGGAGGAATCCCACACAGTCCATTTCACTGGCGGTGTCCTTGAGTAAGACACTGTGTTGGTTTCCATCTGCGATATAAATGTGTAGGTTATTAGTATAAGTAAATTTAGGCTACTTTTAGTCTACTTTAGTCCATAAATAGTGGGTGGGGTTGGATGTTCTGCATGGGTGATTATGGACCTGTCATCCATGAAAAAAATAAGGTCAAGAGTAACAATACACACACTTGGAATAAGTTATTATACCTAGAAAGAGATGGAGACCAATTAAACTTAACTTTTCAAGTTATTTTATTTTCTGACCTGTAGATCTTTAGCAGAGGAAATACGTAAAACGTTGTGCTCACTCTGGCGAAGTGGAGAGATGGCAATTTCACCAGAGGAACTGTTCACGATAATGTCAAAGCTATTCCCACGGTTCAGGTAATAAGAACTTAAATGCTTCGTTTGTTGGATATGATTATGTAGATGTCTCAAGTTAGTAAAATGTATTTCAGTAAGTCTTCAGATATCCATAGTAAATGCAAAATTTCCATAGCACCTAATAATTTGTCTTGAGTGCAAAATTTGAGGTGCTTAAATTACAGGTACATGATAATAACAGATTTGGAATTTGGAAAAGAAGCAGGACTTGATGAAGATTTACTGCCCACTTTTTCTTAGTTTTCACAATAATTTATCAGTAATCTCACAAGTATTAGTTGTCCAGGGTCAATGTAATCAAAAGTTATTTCTGCTGGACTTTAGACCTTTTTATTTGTAGGTCCAGGCCTATGATAAATTTCCGTAGTATTTTGTCTATATCCGTACGTCCGTAATTAGGCAAAATTTCCGTAGCAACTACGGAAATTCCGTAGTACTTGAGAAGTCTATAATTATGTGGCAGTATTTTAAATGCAAAAAAAAAATCTCTTCAAACAATTTAGGAAAGCAATGTTTGTAATAACATTTGTAACTCTCAAAATTGATTGCTTGTTATTAGGTAAAAAATATTTTTTTGAAAACTTCATTTTCAGGGGCTATCAACAGCAAGATGCTCATGAGTTCATGCGCTATCTACTGGATAGGCTACATACTGAACTGCAGGGGGCGCCCTGTCCTAGTAATCACTGGAAGCCAAGTAATGGCAAGAGCACCATAGTAACTTTGATATTTGGCGGTCTTCTACTTAGCGAGGTTGTGTGTCTGAAGTGCAGCTCTGTATTCAAGAAAATTGATCCATTTTTAGGTAAATAAAATGTCAAATCCAAGGATTTTATAAGGACCTTTATTAAAACTTATGCCTTGTACAGTATTATCTCCAAATTTTTTGTATCAACTTTTAAGTCTTCTGATCTGATCTACTCTAAATTCTAATGTACTGATTCACTACCTTCTGATCACTTTAAAACCCCATCTGTTTCCTTAAATTTGCTGCCTTACATTGTTTAGTAATAAGACTCTTTTTAAATCGAATATTATTACTAGTTTTTCTTCAGACAAGATTCCGGGATTTCATCATTAAAAGCGATTATATAACATAATCTTTGTAATCTTTATGATTTTAAAGGTAGAATCCAGGAAATATCTTGTTAGATGTGTGGGACCATAGCAAGCATAAAACTGTGTAAACTTGATTGTTGACAGGACATTCCTGGCTATTAAATAACATGTTTTAATTGGTCGGTTGTTAAGTTTGTTTAACACTCTGGAATGGTCCATTATACACTCATATATATGTAATTATAAGTATATAACTAATTTTTGAATTTGATTATGTTGTGTAGATCTATCAATAGATATACCTGTTAAGTTTCGATCAAGGAGCTCAAAATCAAAGGAAGGTTCCACAGTATGCCGTCTCGAAGGTAGGCTTAGCTATTAGTCGTCTTGAATATATATGAACATCCGATTTAACCACAAATCGGGTTTGTGCAGTGCCCTTGATTGGAAGTGGCCCTGAATCAGAAATCTCTATAAATTCAGGTCATAACATTTGGCCTAGCATATGTCCATGTGTATATTAGTATATAAACTAGAAATTGCAAATTGCAAGTGAAGAGCTGCGAAGTAAAACTGCATATAAATGTTCTTCGAACAAAATTATTTATGCGAGTCAAGTGAAAATAATGAATAATAAAAATATAACAAATACTGTAATATGAGACACAACTCATTGTCTATATTGGAACACTTCTCATTGGGTAACAAAGTCGTAATTTTTCATTTTTGTCAAAAAGTGTCTATAGTGGTGAATTATGGTTTAGGTTTTTTTAAATAAAGTTTAAAAAATTTCTATGTATGTGGAAAATGTAGTTGATTACCAAAGGTTACAATTTTTATTTTGAAGACTGCATGGTCTACGAAGTGTACATTTTTTTATGGGTCCGTTTTTCAGTCGTCTTAGGCCCTTGTTTTTTGACAAACAATGACTTTTCAGAGGTCAAATTGCTGTCAAGAATATGAATTGGCTGCTTCGCAGCAATAATTACTGGGTTGAGGGGCATGGTTCAAATTATACCCCAAGTTATCTGGAGGCTGTACTACGTCCCAAGACAAAGTCAGCATTAAATTCCCAGGAAATATTTGTTTTATATACCACTACATAGATTCCTAGGCCTAGAATATGCTAGCACGCCATCGAGGCCTGAATTTGATAACACTTACACTTGGTAAATCACAGTTTGCGGCTTCAAGATACTCTTCAAATATTTGGACGGCGTACTTAACTTGTTTTTTTTTTTTTTCGTATTAGCTCTGGCTGATAACTCATTAACACTTCCCAGTTTAAATCTGGAACACCCTGCCATTGTTATTCCCAGTCTAGCCAATATGCAGTGTATGTGCACCTAGTAGCAGAGTGATAGTCAGCTTCCAGGTCATCAAATTAGCTCTTAAATTTGTAGAAGCGTGCCCCCAACAATAGGCTTAGCATAATTTTCTACATCGCGACGTACAAGCAAATTAAAAGAGGGCAAAAAACAAGAGGCTATTGCCCGGCTAGCTGGATATGGCTGAAACTATTTTTCGGCAATTAACCAAATGCCTGGAATCTATGTAGTTGGTTTATAAACTAAACTATTCCACAGATTTAATTACATATTTACTTAATGGTATTATTCTGTGGTGGCTGCAATTTTGCATAGAACAACTTAAATTTGGTAGTTATGTGACATGCATTTTCTGTTTATGATAGACTGTATACAAAGCTTTACAGAGAAAGAGGAACTAGCAGACTCAGAACATTACATGTGTACAGAATGTAAAAAAAGAAGGCCCTCAACGAAGAAATTCTGGTTGCGATGTCTACCAAATGTACGTATACCTGGTTTTGTCTTTAAATTAAAAGTATATATCTAATATAATCTAATATATTCTAATGGTTCTAAAGGTATACCATAGTAAGTGTGCCTACCAGCCAATCATGGATGTTTTATATCCACAGGCATGGTGCATCCTCCTCAATTGCATGAGGAATGATTACGTTTTACCAGGTTGATTTCAGATTTTTTCCTTGCTCACGTGTGTGCGGGAGTTTGTGTTGTTCTTTTTATGGCAGACTTCTGCGAAACACAGGCAACTTGGGACCCCTGATGTAGTCTAATTTCTTTTATAGTGTGTTAGCCTTTTCTATTGTAATTGTATTCCATAAATTTAAGTGTATACATTGTTTTGCAGTATATAACAAATCTCATTATGAATCTACTTACCTGGATGAACCAATAAATATGCCAGATTTCCCAATGAACAACTTACCTTGAAAAATAATGTATTATTAAGCCAGGCTCTCAATTCACACAACAGTCGTCGACCAACGCGATTCTATAGAACCATGATGCACGCACAACGGATTGTTTTATTCCTGTTTCATAGTATTTTATCAAATTTTATTGTATTTTAATGTATGTGAGGGCCTCAAATCGTCGCTCACTACACGAACTAACACAATCAAAGTAGATTGTGTTAGTTCGTGAAATCACAGTAGTGCGTCAAAACGAGTGCGTATTGGTTGTCAAGCAATTTTGTATTCTTTACCACACAAAAAGTCCTTAACAACAACAGCGCGTATTTTGACACGCTTTTTTGATTTCATGAACTAAACACAATTGAATTTAATTGTGTTAGTTCGTGATGTGAGCGACGAAATGATCAGCTTTTGCTGAATGGGCTACCCTAATGAAATATGGTTTAATAAATAATAATGATGGTCCATCCTCGTAAAATATTGTTGAAATAAAATAAATAAATAAAATAAAGACTGCTACCGACAATCAGCAGATGCCATAGCGTCGTCTAACGCTCATAAGAAGCGGAGTTGGATTTGTCAGCCGATGGTCGTATGACCTTCGTATGACACAGTGAGTCCCCAGCTTAAATGTCAGTGTGCAGTATAAATATATATACACTTATATTTTGATAAATCCATTATTTCTTAGATAACTTAAGCAAAACTTCTTCCAGGCATCTCACTCATAAACTACTATCAGCATCTTCATTTTGTGAATTTATTTTTCTAGGTATTATGTCTACATCTAAAACGGTTTCATTGGAACAGTTATCTGCGAAGTAAAATTGATACGTATGTTCGCTTTCCAGTCCGTAATCTTGATATAAATTCCTTTGTCTTGCATAATAATGTGAGTATGGTTTTTTTTTTTTTTTTGTTTTTTTAATGAATAAGCTTTTAACCATTCATGTTAATTTAGTTTATGCGGTTAAGTCATGCAGACAAGTTGATATTTACATTATTTTAAGTATTTAGTTAAAATGTTTCACATAGTCATGGTTTTTTGCCTTCCTGTAAACTTCCTTCTGTCTTATGTAAAATATGAAAAGTGTGCTAAGGACAGGTGAAAAAAATATATTGATAAATGTAAGATATGAACAGAATCTGAATATGGTCATTGATCTATCAAATGCATAAAAACACACTATTAATATTATTATTATTATTATTATTGTTATTATTATTATTATATACTTCAGGAGGATGACAATGAAAATTTTAAACCAGGATTGTACGATTTAGTTGCAGTGGTTGTCCATCAAGGATCTGGGTGAGTGTATTATATAATAATTTAATATAAAAATAATCCAGTCATGATGTCATCACATTCATTTGCACGTAATTTTCCTATCCCCGACCAAGTACTAATTTGATATAATGCCTCTCTGATTTTTTTGCGTCTCGTGTGCAAAAAGCTCAATGAAAGCAGGGTTTTACATCAAAAAGAATATTTCGTTGGTAGCCAAGCTCTGAATGCCCCCAGCGGACCTAACAAATTTTGCTCAACGTAAACACAAATAAAGGCTAGACCACCAACCTAGGCAAGGCCTAGAAAGGCATATGGTTATGAGATAACAAGGTACTGTTTTATAAATGAACTGAAAAGAGAAGGCAACGCTGAAATAATTCATAATAATGTTTACAAATACATTTTAATATATTAAACAAATGTTAGGTCTACCTAAACTTCAACAACAACAATCAATTTAAGTGTCAGTGCACTTACTATTGTACTAGTAAATCATTCTCATACTAATGCACCGCAACTTGGCATTTAATACATAATCAAAATATAATTAAAATGGTGACGTCACTTATAAAGCAATTATGGACAAGTTAGAAAATAGAAGTTTTAGAAGCCATTATTTCCTTCAAAAATTGCCTTCAGCCCTGCAGGCTTCAGGCAATTTTTTTCAGGTATTAATGGCCTCTTTGGCCTCTATTTCCTATAGGGTCCTCAGAACATGACTATAATTTCATAATGTGTTCTCATTCTAATTGGAAATGCTTGTTTTGGCCTAGGTACCTGCAGCAGCCACTGTGCAGTGCCACCCAATTTAAATACATCATATAACGGACGCATACGGATACAAACATTGTCCTTAACCCACATAACTCTCAATATGAGGGTTATTCGTGGAGCCAAGCAATCAGACACCAAAGATGCTGGCCGAGTTTGAACCAGTCTTCAGCACCAGAAGCAGGGAAAAAACCTCTCAATCAACCCCTCAGCTGTGTTATGTTAACTACAAAGTGAAAATAAAATAGCTCCTGGTGCCTGGAGTGACTTAGCTTTATGATAGAACTGGTGAATTATAGTGAAGTATGCACTATATCAACTACCAGTGCAAATACGTAATTGTTATACCAACTCAATTCTTGATATTTTTTTTTCAGTGCGGGAACAGGCCATTACATTGCATATGCTCTACATGAAGGTATGTATTGGCTGTATATTTTTTAGTGTGTATTATAAAACTAATGTCTGAAAGGACAAAATAAAATAATTATTGAATCTTATGTAAATTAAATTTATATAAATTTCATTACTGATAATATTTTTGCTGAATTTCTGCTAAAAAAAGTGAATGTTGTATTTGTTATTATTTAATTGTTTGTTTCAGGACAATGGTATTGCTTCAACGACAGTACTGTGACATGCGTTGACGAGTCTACGATTTTGAAATGCAAGGCATACCTGCTATTCTATGCCAGCCACACTCCAGTTGAGAAAGACTCATTTGTGATGGCTGAAAGACTACAAAAAGAGTTCAACGCTTCCTAGCATCTCCAATGAGGAGAGTAGAGAAAAAGGTCGGGATACTCAGGTCAGGTCAAGAGCAGGTCACACAAGCAAGTGGAGATACCTCAACAGCAGAGGATGGCAATTGTGTATCATATGGAAAATCTTTGCATCCTATATTTCTATTATTGCTTCAGATTTCCAAGAAAGCATAAAACTGTTGCTAGGTAACCATATACAGTAATTATGTTGCTAAGCAAGCATAATATGTTGCCATGCAACCAACAAAATGTTGCATAACAGTAAGACTATGAAGTAATTGCTATAATGTGTTGCTTAAGTAACCATATGGATATACTACAAGTAACCATGAGAATATTGTTGCTATGTAACCATATGAATAGTTGCTAAGTAACCACAAAAAATTCAGTTGTGTGTATGACCAAATCAATGTGGTTCCTCATCATTCTATGGTGGGTAAATTAAAAAAAGCAACAAAGTTAAAGTTGCTGAAGAAGTTAAAAAATATTGCTGCTAGATTTTTGTGCTTAGTGAAATAATTAGCCATATTATTTTTGTATGTCATGTAGGTATTATTAAGTTAAGATGGAAAAGGGTCACACTTTTCAATTCCTTGAAGTAATTTGATTTTCTTAATTTTATTAATTAGAAATTTTATTCAAAATTGTGATCATATCAACCACCCCACCCACCCACTTCCTTTCTCTCATGACAAATTAATCTTTTATGTCTCCAGCAAGCCTGCATTTCTAATTTATGTAAATAAATATGCTAATTATTTATTTGCATATATAATTTCATTCAGTGTTAGCATGAGGTAACATGCATAAATTAGTAATCCATAATATATATAACTATGATAATGACATGCATCTTTTCAAGGTGCATGTGAGTGTTTTAAGAAAAAATGTAAAAGAATTCTTGAATGATCATTAAGTGCATCCAAAATTTCAGAATATTTAAATCTAAATATAAACATGTATAACAGTTCATGTCACCACGACCTGTTAATTAATTATTCAAGCAACTATTACTATTGGACTATTAATTTAAAACACATTGCATGGTTGTTATTGGTGAAAGGGTTTTGCATCAGCTACAGTTGTCTTGTAGAACAAGTCCGCTTATATAGGAAGGTGTTCCTACATTAAATAATGAATTAATTCTGGTAAAACTGTAAACGTTAATGCTTTTTTTTTTTAACCTTTTTTTAGAAATATCAAATTGTAACAATTAATAATTTTTCATTGAGATTATTTTGACTATCTGAGCAAAGAGCAGATGAGGGAGTTATTTGGAAAATACACCAAAATAATTAATCAACTTTACTTTGTAATTGATAAATGAAATCATTTGAAATTTATTTTAATTTCATCATTTCATATTTTAAACATTTATGACACTAACCTTATGAAGTAAATATAGCATTGTTTTATTATTTACTTTAAATGTTATAATTTATGTTTGGAAAAATCAGTAAAATTTAGTTTATTTCACCTGAAAGTAAAATGCACTTTTTGTTACTAGTTAAAAATACAAAATCAAATTCAAAATTAATTTAAACGTTAAAAATTTTTGATTTTTATTACAATATCATTCCATCGTTCTTGCAACAGCACCCTCTAGTGGTGAAACTGACTTATTTAAGAGACATACAACTACTTGTAGAATTGTTTTCCATTTCCAAAAATTAAAAAAATCAATTATTTAACAGCAATAATTAAAGGTTATCATAACATTATGTTACAACAACTTGTTTCTGTTGGATAATACACAAGAATAGTGTAACAAGCATATTTTGTAAATATGCCTCTTTTTACAAAATTGACATTATTGTTTTTGGCCAATGTGAATGCACCAGCAAGACATTTCAGTTGAAAATTCTTATGAATAATGCTAATGTCATGAATTGTGTAAACAGCCAATATAGTACAATCCTGTGTGAACAGACCATACAACAATATGAGGCTTGTCATCCCAAAACCAGCGTACTGTCGCTAAATGTTAAATGAGCATCAGAATGTGGCAGCATTGTATACTGTAGTACAGCTGTAATACTTTTACTCAAAACTTTTGCAGTTACTAGTAACTCAATTCAAGTAGAAATTTTTAAAGCTTATAATGTGGAGAATATGAATTTATTAAAAAGTCAATGATGCTGGTTTTGGCATGGCAAGCCCCATATGTTCTTAATGTGAACTGACGCTATTATTTTGAAAGGACCCTTATGGAAGCAGTAGACATTAAAGTAGCAGTAATAGTAGTAGAGTCTTTTTGAACGTGCTTAAGTTCTGAAATGAATGCAAATTTTTGAACTTGTAAACAATTTAAATGTTGTCAATAAGTTATCCTTCCCAAATGTTTCCACTGTCTAATAACTTTTCTTTACATTTCTTTGACCAATTTTAATCAATTTTCTTTTTTAAAAGAATTCCATTGTAACTGTGTGTAGTAAATTAACGAAATATGTAATTCAGCAAATTATTGTCTCTGGATTTTGTTAATTTTTTCTATTACTTACACAAACAGCCATGCTCCGTAGGAAAAAGGTTTTTTGGTATGCAACTGATTTAGAAATGGATGTTTGATGAAAAACTTGGGAAAGATTAATGAGATACAGATTTTTGAATATTTAACAACTGGGGAAAGTTTTCTTCTTTAGTGTTCTAAAATCTGTTTCTCATCAAACCATTCCCAAGTTTTTCGTCAAACAAGTTTTCCATCAAACACCATTGTGTGTCTTAGAAAAATCAGTTGTATAACATATTAATATTTTTTTCTTCTCTCCGGAGCCTGCTTAAAAAAAAATCAATTATAAATAACATTAAGCCATAGGCATACATTATAAATAGGTGGACTAGTGCAAGTTTAGTCAAATGGAGGTGTTAGAGCATGTTTTATTTGGTGGAATCATCTTGACATCAGGGGTGGTGCTAGCGGCAGGGGGGGGGGGTCCATGGAGCAAAGGACCCACCTGTCGGGGAACCCCCCAGTTGTTAAATATTCTAAAATCTGTATCTCTAAAACCGTTCTGAAGTTTTTCCTCGTCGGGGAAAAATCAAATCTCGAGCGCCAGCACTATTACTAATCTTTCAAATTTTAGGAATTAAAAACTGTTCATTGCAAGCAGTGACACCGTAGGCCTATGTGCGAGGGGTTGTATACTATTGCAATCGTATGAGTTGCAGTGGTGGCACCAGTAGACAGGGTGGGTGGTACCTCCGACAAGACTAGACTAGGGGACTAGATAGTTTTCTATCAAATTATCCTTTTTAAATAAAGAATCCCATAATTAACACAAAATTTTATTATTTTTAATAAAAAAATTCCTTGACAAATTTTAACTTTTTCTCCCACTGGGGGAGAAACGCTTCCCGACCAGAGAGGGGTGTGAACCCATTCACCCATTTGGGAGTTCCTGGTGCTGCCCCTGCTTGACATTAAGGGAGAAGCTGGATACTCGGAATATGCTTGTACCCTAGAAAGTAATAGAGAAGCCTGGTTGCATATACAGTATCGGTACTGTACCAGAGAAAAGAATGTCAATGCATTCAAGCCACAATAGCAATAGGCCTATTATTAAAGTAGAATGCTGCAACCCCTGCTCATTTTGTAATCAATTCTCATAGAATTTCATCTGGCTTCAACAATAAATAAGGTACAGGCACTTGTCCTTCAATTATAAGCCAATGAAGTTTCCAGCTACAATTCGGCTAATGACGCCTTGTTAGGAAGACTTTATTCATGTTATGTATACTAATTACACTGACTTGTTGAATTTTATTTGTGGCAGGTTGGAAGGTGCATCATCATCATCATCATCATATACATAATTGTATTAACTTTATTTGGGGACATCCACCCTCTATATAGATGTGTCCTCCTTCAAACATAACGTCTCGGGACGTGTCCCACTTTTCAACATTCAAGGGTTGGAATGCCTGCAGTACACAATATGAATTTCCAATGCTTTTACAGAATTCTACTCCTGTTGTTTTATTTTCACACATTCCTCAAATGCCTCTAGATTTTTCAATCAGTTTATTTTCAAATGGGGTAAAAAAGAGATTTTTTTAAAAAACACAGATTACAATCCAGTTTTTTAATAATCAATTGTACATACAAAATTATGTAATTTTCAAATGCAAGCAAAATGAAATTTTGCCAATATTTTTAATACAAAATTTGTATTTTCTTACATTACACCAGAAATCAATGCACAAGTTATTCTTCCAATAAATAAAATGTAATTTCGAAACACTTGCATTAAATAGTTTTATACTGTAAATTCACTTTGTTTTCCATCTGTATGCTCAGTACAGTGAATATTTAGTTTACCAAGAATATTTCTGTACAGAATGATTTATATTTTCAAAGTATATATTGTTTAACTCAAAAGTTGTTTAACATTAAGACAAACATGTTGCTTTCACATTAGTGTAAAAAAAGGTTGCTTTCCCATTAGGTTAAACAAAGTTGCTTTTACATTTGGGTAAACAAACTTTTACATCAGAATACACGAAGTTGCTTCAGCATTAGTGTAAACATAGTTGCTTTCACATTAGGGTAAACAAAGTTGCTTCCACATTAGGATAAAACAAAGTTGCTTTCACATTAGGGTAAACAAAGTTGCTTTCACATTTGGATATAAACAAAGTTGCTTTCACATTAGAATATAAACAAAGTTGCTTTCACATTAGGGTAAACAAAGTTGCTTCCACATTAGGATAAAACAAAGTTGCTTTCACATTAGGGTAAACAAAGTTGCTTTCACATTTAGATATAAACAAAGTTGCTTTCACATTAGAATATAAACAAAGTTGCTTTCACATTAGGATACATATCTATCATACAGGATTATTTCAGACTTTTGAACAACTTTCCCCTTTAAAGTAAATGATCAATGTTCTACATGATCAGCACAGCAAATGACATGTACATAGTAGTGAATCTTGGGATCGGGAGAATCTGAATCTCAGGATGGGGGGAGGAATGACTGTCAGAAACTATTACAACTCTGGTTCTCAATATCTAGGCCTACCTGTATCAAACCAGACCACAAGTATCAAAATTTGGACCTATCAGAAATTCATAAAAAATTGATTAAAATATTGCATGACTTCTCTGATTTCTTGCAAATAAATAAAAAAAAAGAAATTTCATTTTTTCCGAAGTGGCCTCAACTGATGATGATACAGTAATGAAACCTTTATGCTCGCCTACTGCTCATGAACACAGATAAGCATTGCTTCAATACCACAACAGAAAGTCACAAACTTATAACATTTACTTTAAACTTTCCACCAACTGCATAAATTTCCTAAATATTCACATACTTTAGCAAATAAGCATTATGGTTGGTACTCTTTGGCCAGTTATCAGTGATTAAACAAACATTACAAAGGAGGGGTATTGAATAGGAGAATAGTTCAATGAGAAAGGGCTCAGGCTTGGATGGCGCAAGAAGAATGCAAATGACAATCACAAACATTATTTAAAATATTGTTCAAAGTTTATAATACTGATAATTTTTATGGAATGGATTAAGGAAAGGGAGAAGTATGGAAAGAGTTTCGAAAAGGGAATAGGAAAGCCGACAAAGAAGGGTTATACACCTTGAAACTACAGAAGGTACGTAAAGTTAATGATCGGAGCATGTACAGCACTTGATCTCTATACTCTGTAATTAAACAGAACATACGATTCCAAGACTAATCAAGTATATTAAAGAAAAACTTAATAATACCGAAGAACCACATAGAACATAACAGGATTTAAGCAAGTGGTTCATACAATCAAATTTGCTAATATCTTTTATTTTAGCAAACAAATAAAAAATGCAAATATGATCTAAATCAGGTGGGAATATTCAACCAATGGTTAAATCAAAATGAAACAATTCCATAAAACCCTGAGTCTATTTCTTATATATAGTTTGGTAAATACAGAAAATTTCATTTAAATTGTAAAGGATAAGATTAATAGAAACAGTCTTTCAGTAATAAACAAATAATAATCTTTTGTTTATACAATGTAGCACAAGTTATTAAATTTTGAGAATGGTTTTAAAATATCTATAAAATAAATAAAATAATCATTTCATCATTAAAAAAAATTAATAAAAAAACAATTTAACAAAAAAGAGCAAAACAAAGAACATCACAAATACCTTGTTAAATATACAAATTGCAAGTATGCATGATGTTAATTTTTCAAAAACCTCCACCAGTCCTATCTAAACATACTTATTAGAAAACTTCCAAAGAATTTTATAATCATTACCATCACATACATCATCTTTCTTAATGCTCTGTACGCCCATTAAAGTTTCTTGTGACAAATAAATGTGATTTGCCCATATAAGGAAGTGATATTGGTTCCCCCTACCCACCCACACAATATTTGGAGCAAGTTCTCTTGCTTTCTAAGCTTCTTTGTTCACATTTAACAAGAATGTTCCATCCAACAAAATACGTATTTGTGAATGTTGATATTCTATAGCCAAATCTCTTTACTCGCTCTATAACCAACTCTGTACAAGTTAAAACCAACTCTTGGAGACAGAGGTGTAACGAAAAGACTAAAGACCCCTAGCTGAGGTTTCTTTAACGCTTACTACCCTGGGGGCTAGGGGACAGGATATGGTACCAGTGGGGTATGTGACAAATCTCCTGTCAATTCCAACATTTTTGAAGAGATGATAGGGCGTATTTTGATATATTTTTTAATGTTCTGATCAATCAGTGGCACCAGTCGGCCGATTTGGGGCTCATTGTCCTGGCAAAAAACATACCAATTAATATCCGAGGGACCCTAAAGGTATGGGTCCTCTGGCTTTAGCGAATGAGAGCTCGTACATGTTACGCTACTGCTTGGGGAAGTTGATCAGAGTTAATCTTTATGAGACATGAGGAGAGTGGAGAGTCGATCATTTTTTACCCTCAATGAGACTTAAAAGTCAACTTGCCTTTGGTTGACGGAAATATTCTGATTCTCTTTTTTGACAGGAGTGTCAGATATAAAACAAATGTCCACTCAGATCCTTATTGGATGTTAGACTTAAAACAAATATCCAATCAGGTCCCCATCGGAGTGTATAAAAATAATTGTCATAACAGGCTCTGACAATCATCCAATCAGAGCCTTTGTGAAGTGTTAGATAGTGTATATAAAACAATATTGTCTCATATCAGTCAGTCAATCTGCTCCCAAAGAGTATAGAATTGCAAAGAGGTTCGACTGCCCTAATTTTGTATGCACACAATGGAACGTAAAAAAAAGTGCTACCACGAGATTGGGGGCTCCCTATTAGAATTCAAATAGATTTCTGAACTCGCTTTTTGTAGGATGCCCTATAGTTCGTTGTAGCATTTTTTGAAATAGGATTGCATTCCAACGAAACCCCGATAGTCAGACCTCTTGCCGAGAACCTTGAGACTGGAAGCAGTGTATTTCAACCATCAAATCACATCTCCACTGTTCAGCTCTTGTTTCGAAGCCGAAATCAGTCTATTAATATTCTAACGTGTATGACCTCAACATTTGTAATATTTTGACATTTATGTCTCATAAGCTACAGAAAGTTTTGCAAGTCAAATAAAATATAATCAGGCAGAAATAAAACAAAATAGCTGAAAATATTTGTATTATACAAGATTGTGTATTGTTTACTGAAAGCACAGTGTATACATTTTGCTAAAAATATAAATAATTTATATAACAAACAAAAGTAAATTTAATTAAGCCTACCTATGTATATAGTTGATTATATAAATAAGAGATTTTAATTAATAATTACACAAATTATTTCTTATCTAAAAGAAGTAAACTGTCGAAAAAAAAAAAAAAACTAAAATAGAGTACAATTTTCATTTCATCTTTTCCCTTGACTGTGCCATCAACAACAGATCATCTCATATTTTAGTAAATTAATCAAAATCCCTCTAATATCCATAATTCACAATTCTCCACAAAACAACCAATCACAGCTTCTCTAATATCATATATCATTAATTCATCAAAGAAATCAGGCTCTTTAAATACTACTTCTCTTAGAGTCAACAAATCATAACTTCTCTTACATACTTGATTTGGCAAAACAAATCAAAAGATTTCTCCAACAAGCAGCAAGAATTAACTTTCATTCCAGCTTAACTTTGCAAAATAATTATCATCAATCGTCTTCTGCAAAATTCTGTATACATCCTGGTTTCCATGGCCATTGAAAGTTATCCAATAAAAATTTATCTGGAAGAGTCACTGTTTGCACAGGCCATATAGTGAGTGATTCTGCACAAATGTTTATAGGATCAGAGGCAACAGCATTTATGATTATCCCCATGTTTGCTTACATCCATATTCCTTAGTAAATCCAAAAAAGATGGTGATCATTGCAGTACTGAGAAAATTGCAATTTTATGGGCATTTTAAATACCATGACAAAATTTTCAGTGATTGCATTCTCACTGATTTGAGTTTGAGTTGTACACAGAATTGTATCTGATAATTAACACAATTTTTAAATCTGATAATTCAGTCCTATGGAAACATGGCCTTAGGGTACCAATCATCTTTTTTCTAGTTCAAGAATCCACCAATCATACTTTCTCTAAAGCATTATCTACTATGAAACAGATTCTCATAGTGTTAGGTAAAAATAAATGTCCAATCAGATCCTCACTGGAATGTGAAATATATAACAAAAGAGCAATCAGGTCCTTATTGGAGTGATGGATAAAAAATAAACGTCCAATCAGGTCCTCTTTGGAGTGTTAGATGTTAAACAATTGTCCACTCAGATCCTCGTTGGAGTGTTAGATATAAAACAAATGTCCAATCAGGTCCTCATTGGACTCTTAGATGTTAAACAAATGTCCAATTAAGTACAGTACCGTACTCATTTGAGTGTTAGATATAAAACAAATGTCCAGTCAGGTCCTCTTTGGAGTGTTAGATATAAAACAAATGTCTATATCAGGTTCTCATTGGAGTGTTAGATGTAAAACAAATGTCCAATCAGGTCCTCATTGGAGTGTTAGATATAAAACAATTATCTCATCAGGCCCTCTGTGAAGTGTTGGACATAAAAACAATTATCCTATCAGAGTTGTGTTAGATATACATAAAACAATATATTCAGTACATCTGCAACTAGCATTGCTCAAAATAAGCTTACAACCACATTTTAAAGAAAATTACATGCGTTAAAACTCAAATTTCAGTAAACTAGTACAAAATAGCTAATGGTTACCAAATTTGGAATGTATTTATATATACACCGTTGTGGCTAAAAACTAAATATATCCACTAGAAATTAATATTCCCAAACCAGTAATACAGCTAATATCTAAAGGATTATATAAAGCTATACAATATAATACGTACGGATAAAAAAAGGCAATTAATATTTACACCGATGTTAAAGGGAAACCCACACAAGAGCTGAGTTACAATCCTGAGAATTGTTAAAAAACATGTTTTTCTTGAATGATAAACATCAAGAATAAATAATATAGTATAATACTTACTCCAAGTATCGAAATGCATGCCATCATGTCGGGATTTGATATTTTGACATTAATTATGCCATCATCAGAAATCAGGATTCCTGATGATGACATAATTAATGCCGAAATATTGAATCCTGACGCCATGGCGTGCATATCGATACTTGGAGTATGTGTTATACTATCTTATCTGAGATTAATCAGTGGACCTTAACAATTGATAAATTGGTCACAATTCTGGTACTTGTTTGATGAATGATTTAGGAATTTTAAAAAGGATTATTAAATGTTTGGTAATCATCATCTTTAATGTTTGATACTACAGCCAGCGTAGATAACATTTATTCCATTCTACCTCTTTCACAGCCAGTAAGAAACATATGACTAGAATGAAAACTGCAGAATGATTTACATTTTATATAATTAGTAGGATTCCGGGCCCATAAAAATGCTCAGGACTAAAACTGTTATACAAAAATCACTTCGTAAACATCTCAAATTTTTAACCTTTAGATTAAGTTAAGAGGTTCATAACAAGAAAAACACAATAGTTAACTTATATTTGACAGGGAAATCAGTTGTTAAATTATTACTTCTATATGGAAGGTAATTTTTTTCTTCTTAGTAGCTTTGTGAAAATAATGCATGTTATAGCACACAGATAACAGAATATAAAAAAACTCACATCAAATCATACAATTATATTGAATAATAAATAATATCTGAAATATTGATGTAGCATAATTTAACCACACTGTCTTACTTATAAGTTCATAAATTTAATTAATATCACCAAAGCATAAGATTCCCTTAAAAGGGTTGGAAGCTATTAAAATGGGAGACATTTAATGCTTTTATTTTATCTTAAATTAGATGTTAAAAAAGGGGTAAACACAACTTCAATATTTCAAAGGCACATTTCATCTAAAGATAATTGAGAAAACTGTATTATTGATACAAGATTCACCAATGACGAATTGTAGTCTTTATGTTTACCTTAGCAATGAATTGTGTTCAAGTTGCCAACAATAAACAACATAAGCCCAGGCAATGTAACTATTTATTTGATTTTAAAATTCCACTGACAACTAGTTGATATTATAAATTGTATACAAAATTACAGCAGCAACAATGAAGTAATCATTGATTACAGAGCTTATGTCTGTGTTCCTTATTGCATTTGTTAATTTTTTTGCACATTGACTGAATATTTTGACGCAAAATATATTTGCTGAGTTTAGCACCGAACCAATGAAATGCCTAGATTAGCTTCAGTCTATGCCCAGAATTTCTAAAATTAAAGGATTGCATTTAAGGAGTTTACAGTAGTTGCTTGCCAATAGTGGATAACAGTTTGTTGCTTGGTTACAGTTTCTATGGATCATTGCCTGGTTACATTATTCTACAGATTAATGTAATATGTACAGCACTGCCTATGTCCTGTTAAAGTTGACCTCTGCTGAAAAAAAAAAGAATGTTTCCATTGATGGTTGCTTGGTTATAGTTGATATGGAAAGTAGTGTTTCAAGGTACTGTATCAAGACCACTGATTGGTTATAAGTTGTTACATTTGAGACTTATGCAAAACAAGCTATAGGTTGATGTACTGAAAAACCTCGAATAGAAGCCCCCACCATGAGAAGAAGCCCATCGCGAAAATAAGCACCCTCTTCAGTTTGCAAAAGTAATCTTGAAAAGAAGCCCATCTCCAAAAGAAGTCCATGGGCTTCTTATCAAGATAATATGGGATTCTTTCGAGATAGTACTTACATTCAGACCGACTTTATCTTTGACGATTTATTGATTGATTGATTGATTGATGATAGCTTACACTATCAATATTATTTTACTGTTCTAGCATGGTAAAAGAAAAAAAAAATATTAAAGAGAATTTCAAATTCAATAGTTGCATAACGTTGTATAGTAGCAATTCCAAAATTAATTTTGAAAAGAAGCCCCCCTTCTTTAGTTTGCAAAAGTAATCTCGAAATGAAGTCCATCTCGAAAAGAGGTCCATATTGAAAAGAAGCCCACTCAAGGGTCCTTAAAAAAAGAAATCAGGGCTTTTATTCAAGATTTTACAGTATTGTTCCAGTAACTACCATACTGAGTACAGTTATTACGGAAGATTTTGTTTTGTTTTTTTGGCTACAGTCTGACAAGTTGCCTGGTTACAAAATCTGACGGTGGAAGTTTTCTTTGATTGTAATGTACATATGCATGTTGGTTACAGCTGTTCGCCAAGTGTTTGGTTTAATGTTGACGCTTGCTGTATGACACCAGCCAGTTTAGCATGAAGCGAGGCTAACTGTTGAGACTTCTGTCGGTTCTTTTCTCGTTCCTCTTCTAATTCTTGCATTAAACTTGACACCTGGCTCTCTAATTCTCCTACCTGACTATCAGAATTCTATAACAAAAATAAGGTGAATATAAAGCAGAAACATTATTATATTATTTTATTATTATTTATGTTAGGCGAACAACAGATGCGCCAAGGATTTGTCAGTAAGCGAATATATCACTGTCCTACTTGAAGGTGACAATCCCTTACACAAGACAAACACACACATGTTATGCTTTACACAAGCTAAATCTGAATATGAGGTTTAGGGAGTGGAGTTTTTTTGGTTGTGAGAAGAATCCTGCAACACTGACGGGAATTGAACCCAGGACCCTTGGATTTTAAGGCAAGCATCTGAACCACCAAGCTATTCAACTCCACTTCAAAATTATAGAATAATGATATTGTTTGGAAGTTAAAAAAAATCATTTTAATGTTCATGAAATAAAGCCCAATGTAAAAATTAGTAGCTTATTATAATTCTAATGAATATTCATGATGGTGCAATCCCGAGTGGGGGTGGCTGAAGCATTCAAACATGAAATGGTACCTGTAGCATGATTCTTAGTTGCGATTGCTCCATTTGGTTGTTGGTGGCAGATTGTAGGCGGAGGTGAAGCTCATGCGTTTCCTGATATGAAGAAAGAGAGGGTGAGGGTGACAAGCAAGCATAGCACATGCGATGAATGGAGGAAGTAAATGAAGGGAAAAAATTATGTGTTTTCATCATGCATTTTGGCATCCTGCTCATTCATTTCATGCAAAATAATCATAAAATAATTATCATAGTTCTTTGGGTATAAGCCTATCCACTCAAATCTTTAAACACAAAATAGTGTGAAGTTTAAATGTATCTATTTTACAACCACATCCTGGACACAGTGCTAAGGCCTACTTATGTCCTGCTTGTAAATCCACCTTATCATTTATCTCTTATATTTACCCAGATATAATATTGTGAATTATTGTATCAGTGTATCAGGATCTCAACCTATTCATTTATTATAGCCTATCTTGTTTAATTATTAATATTTATTTTGTTATTCTGTGTATTACAGGTATTTTTCTTTTGTTTTATTGTCATAAAAGGCATGGTAAAGGCTATTATATTAAATTTATTATTATTAATAATTAATTAGTTTTCACTTAGTTGGTCAATTTAATTTGCTTATCTTTGTTATTATTAATAATTAATTAGGTTTCACTTAAGTCAGTTAATTTTAACTGGATAATTTCTATTTGTTAATTTTAATATTGGTTTCAGTTGGTCTTAATGTGATACTGTAGTACTAATTAATATTTAATTGTTTGCAAATTGCTAACAATGCATGTGATAGATTTTGATTACAATTAAAAGCATATTAAGAAATTAGAAGAAATATCAGATGCGGAAATAATATTATTAAAGCATATATTCATAGACCTGTAAATTGAGTAATAAATTTAATTTTTTGTTTTTGTAGTAAAAGGTCTGTAAATTATTGGAAACATGTTTTCTTTACTCTGTTTATTATTGAAATTTAATATTTTCTTAAAATAAGCTTTTCAATGTTAGTTCAACTGAATTGTCTATGGTTTTCATCATATTATTTCCTGACAGATGGTACAGCATTGAGAAATAGGTCAGAATAATGCTGACAGTACGCAATGTAGTCACAGTGTCATAATGATAATTTCAATGTTCAAGGCCCCTGTTGTGTGAAGCTCTTTGACCAAAAAAAAACAAACTACTGTATGCCCATATATAGTCACAATGTGCATACATTATATGATAATGATGTGATGTCATCATGACCATATTTAGGCATATTACATGTCTTTGTCAAATAAAATTTGACATCCCGAAAGGGCTTAACAGGAGTAGAATTAAGAATTGAAGTTGATATTTCTTTAGAAAACCCTAAAAAACAAGCAAGACTGTCCATAAAATCAAGATGAATGATGCACAGGGATTTGGAAAAGCAGGGACCGGGAAGCATGAATGCAATCACCAACAGTGCAGAGTGTAAGCATTTAACAATTTCTCATTGCCGTTTCCAAATTTCGACCAAAATTATACAAACGTCTTTCTCCTCCCTCGCAAAAATGAGCTTATTTTGATTAAATTAGATTTCTTAATCTGAATTGAAAACTTTTACAAGTACACAAGGTGGATACCTTAACGATGGTTTATTTAAATAGTACATTATATGCATTCACTAATAATTAAAACTGTATGGTATGAGGTTAGTCTTATAACCTAAGAAAATCTTCCAAAGCCCTAGCGATTCTTGTACTCCATCCTGCTCTAAGTGGCCTTGGATTAAATGATTTTTTTGCAAAGCTGTGGTGATGAAGCTTAATGGTCAGTATAGTCGGTTCTTATAAAGCAATGCCATGTTTACCTTTTCTTTGGTTTTGTGTGCAATAGAGAGAGCTTGGAGCTGCTGTTGCAGATCACTCTTATCCTGCAGTAGGGAACTTTCACCGTGACCTGATTCCAGGTCGGAAGTCTGCAAGAAGCACATGCAAATAATGACACCTTCAGTAAAGCTACTAAGCTAGACAAGCATATAGTACATACAACCTGATACCACAACCCTGATGTATAAATTGATATTATATACTTGCTTTGCATTTCAATGATAAGCACTGATATTATTGAATACTTTCCCCAGGGAGCTAAGATTGAAAATGCTTTTAATGACAGGGATTATAATATGAAATTCATCTATAGAGACTGGTAGCATGCAAAGACTGTTGATAAAAATAATAATATAAATGATAAAAATAATATTACAAATAAATAAAGACAAACTGACAGACAAATAAAAAGATACAGATCTCCCTCCAATTAAAGACCACTTTTCTGTGGTCCCAAATTAACAATGTCTTTTATCTTTATTATTCTAATTAGAGACCAAGGCTGCTAAAGACCATGGAAACCCAAAAGTGGTCTTTAATTGGAGGGAGACCTGTAGTAGATAGATAGATGATATAAGCAAACACACAAACACACAAATGGATCCACATTGTCAGTATTACAAAAAGATAGGTATATACAGTCAGTCAGTCAGTCACCTGTTCAATCGGTCAGTACATGGTACACATATACATAGTTACAGCCCTAAGTCAGTTTACTACTGATTAAGACTGAACCATGGAGGTATAAACAAACACATTCCTGTGGAAGTAGAAAGGGGTGACCATAAACAACCGAATACATTTATCTAGCTGTTTGTTGCATGAAATCAATGCTGTGTCTAGTACTATTAGCCAAGAACGACTTCTTGTGGCGAAATTTTTAGTTCTTTACTTGGTAATCCGATTACCAATCACCGTCCTTGACTACGTTTAAGGACCACATAAAAAAACATCTTTTCACTATTTAATTTGTCTTTTCTCACTTATTATCATTCTCCAATTGGTAAGGCACCAATGTACTATATCCAACTTAATACCTTCTTACATCCCTGGCAGGGACTCTCTTCCCAGCATACTGCCTAACGTGTGCCTGCGTGCACACGGGTGTGATAGCGACCCTGTTTTGATATTAGATGGTGGAGTCCCATTCTGGTCGCCTTCGGTTTTTCTGTGCCAATTGTCACTATTGTTATTGGATTTCGCGTTTCTTATTTAAGTTTTTATTTTATTTATTTTGTTTATTTATCTTGGCCTACAGCTCAGACATGTCAATGCGCCATGAGCGTCTGCGACGGATACTGGCGAATTATAAATGTCCGTTAAGTATTACATTTGTGAGTAACAGCGCTCTGAGAAATGATTATATGGCGCTATGTTTAAACCTATATATTATTATTACTGTATTACTATTTCCATTATTATATTTATATTATTATTATTATTATGAATATTATAAGAGAACCGTTTGTATCTTGGTTCTCAGGAGAAACATACCAATACTCAGTTGACAATCAGTCAGTCAGTTAGCTAGTTGGTAAAACAGACAAATACTGTAGATAGGAAGACAGTCGTGTAAATGTAGACTGTGACATTCAGACAGACAGACAGATAAATAGCTAACAGTCAGAGTGACATAGATAGATCTAGGTACAAGCTGACAATCAGAAACACAGAAAGACAAATAGAAGACAAACAGCACCTATCAATCAAAATGAATTTGTGGGGTCCACGGATAGCGATGTCTCAAATGCTCATTCTGTAATGATATTAAATCCCCTTTTCTCCCCAAAGCATCCTGATGAAATGGTTTGAAAACTAGCAACATACATAATTTATATCATCTCGATACTGTTAGGTGAAATTCACTTTCAATTTCAAGGCAGTAAAATGTTTTCCAATGACATTTAAAGGAAAAAGCATGACTTCCCAATTTGGACAAAAACAAAACAGCTTTATGAGTTGTATAACAGAAGAATTTATATATCTCATGCTGTAATAAATGTAAAGTGACACTAGCTGTTGGTGATTTTTATTAGATTACACACAGTAGGCAACAATAACAACAAAAAAATGTTTTAAACATCAACAATTGGATTTTAAATGATATCTCAAGTTGACCAAGTCAGAATTTTCTATGTCAAATTTTTTATCATAGCGTGTTTAATTCAATGTATTTATAGTATAGGAAAAATGTAAAATGACATTTAAAAACAGACATTTCATAATTATCAATACAAATACTGAAGTTTTTGAAAAACTTAATATTGTGGGGATACTTGAAACAGAAGAATACCTTTTTAAAGCAATTGAACTTTCATTTCTAAATTGTTTAACAATGTTTAATTTGTAAAATGATGATGAACTATCATCCTGATATAACAATTGAAAGAATCAATGCAACAAATTAATACGACAATAAAGAAATATCTATATTTGATGCCGATATTTGTAACCTTATGGTAACATGACACATGGCGCTATGAAGTACATAGCGGCATGAATCCAACCAATCAATCATTCAATTAACTTGAGGCGCATAATACAATTGCTTCTACGCAACTAGGAGAAATGAGGCCAATATATGCAGACAACCTGCCAATTGAAATATTCCATATGTAAAAAGACCAAAGTATTATCACTATTATTATCAATTGGTAATTCTCACATTCTTGAGATTTCTAGTCCCATATTATCTGTTACAAACTACATTTATATATTTGACTGTTTGAATGCATGTATTAGATGTTTTATAACAATAATAATAATAATAATAATAATAATAATAAAGATATGAATCACATCATCACTCAATAATAATGATAATAATAATAATAATAATAATAATAATAATAATAATAATTAAAATAACAACAATAATAATATAAAAATAATAATAATAATAATTAAAATAATAATAATAATAATAATAATAATAATAATAATAAATTCTTAATTAGTAAATGAAGTAAAGTATTTTAGGATCTAAATATTACAGTTCGCCCCCCAATTCAAGACCACATTTGGGACTGAAAATTTGGAATGATCTCAAGGTTTGGTCTCCTCCATGGAAATATAATAAGAATACTAGAGCGTTACTGCAATGTATTCGATGTTCAAAATACGCAGGTGTGTGTGTACCATCCAAGATGGCTGCCATAGATTTAGCCAATCAAATTTTGCCTAAGCGCCATCATTTGCAGTTGCGCCCTCAATTTACACAGAAAGTTCAGTACAGCTAGTTACCCGTATGTTTGAAACTCGAGCGTTGCAGTGTATGGGTGTAATGTACACGATTTTAATTTTCATTCCTCGGTCCTTTATTTTTGAATAAGATGCTCCACTTGGCATTGTTTTGTCTACGATAGTTTAATAATTTGTTATTACCATTACTCAATATCATTAATGAAATAATAGTCAGTCAGAGGCCTTATTTATGGTAATAATATGTATACTAAGCCTGAGGGTGGAGCTTTACTACGGCAGCCATCTTGGATGGTACACATACAATGCTTCGCCATCTTGTCAGCACTCTAGTTGTTTAATAGCTCTATGGTCTCCTCTTAGAGGGTTAGCTTTGTGTTAAAAGATGGGAGATTGTTAATTGGTTCTTGAAAAAGTGGTCTCAAATAGGAGGGCACAGTATCAGGGGTCCCAAGCTGGAAGAACCCATTTCCGGGAAATTCGTTTAATGGCATTGGGGGTGCTATATATTCTATGAGGAGAAAGTGTAGGTACCAAACAAAGGACCACGCCCACCTCAGGCCCACCATGATTGGGCTGAGGTGATATCATTTTTGTAGAATAGGCGCCTTTAGAAGCCCGGAAATGGCACTGTCGAACTGCAAAAAATAATCGGCAACCAAAGTTTAGGCCTAAATAAAACAAAAAGATTTGTTTTTTATTGAATTTGCGGGAGATAAGTGAATATCCGGGAGATTTTTGCTTGTTTGCGGAAGTGCAGGAGACCATACCGATTTGCAGGAGACTCCCGGGAGTCTTGGGACCCCTGCACTATTGTTTAATAAAGCACAATTGAGCTAATGTCACAGTGCCATTTAACATTACTTGCAGTGCATTCTGGCATTACACAATTATTGTTATGACTGATTGATTATATATATATATATATATTTTCCTGAAGGCCCGAAGAAAATTTTTGAATGCATTAAATCTAACCTAAGTAGAATAATTTTCCGCTAGTGTACGATGCATGCTCTACTAATTGCTTTATAAGTCAATCGCCGTCTTTTAATGTTAGTTTTGATAACCAAATGTTGTAGCAGTCATCGGTTGCTATAGTGATATGACTAGTATACTGTGTGCGTATTAGGCCCTACTGACGTGCATATGCTGATTTGTGCTCCTGCAGTACGTGTTAACTACACATCAGCAGTACTGTCAGTACGGATACGATGAATTACTACAGTATTTTAATTTGTATTATGTTAGATGAACTTGTTTGTAATGCTATTTTGATAGACATTCGTCAAAAAATAAACATTTCTTAAATCATTCGAGAGAGAATACAGTCACTGATTTTTGGTTAGCGCAGACAGGTAAAAATCGTGAGAGGATTTCATAACTACGCCAGGCTACTAGTAGGATGAGGTTTCGGTGGCCTCCTGTCTGACCGTAGGCCTACATCTAATTTCGTTGATTGAGTCTTTGAAATAGGTCTAGAATATTCCTATTAAATGTTCATTTTGTTTAGTTTATTAGGGTTCATTGATTCAAGGAATTCCTTAATTGTTCATATACTTACTATTGAATTTGAACTTTCTTCAGGTTCTAATTAACCTTGTTTTACGAAAGTAATTTTCAATTAGGCCTACAATTCAATTTTCATCGTTGTGAGCGATACCTTAATGGTGACGAAAAATTAGGTATTTTTTTGCAAACGAACCTAAAAAAAATCAAAACAAGCGTCCACTATTTAAATATTATTGGACTGTGTGAGATAGGCAAATAATACTGGGAGATGTAGTGATGACATCACGATTGACATATAAATACATATATATGTATAAACAAATATTATTATGTATCAAATAGTTAAATTACCCTTTTCTTTAACCTTGCATTTTCTTCTTTGTAGGCTGAGAGTTGTTTCTTCCACTCTTCAACATTTGCTGTACTTTCCTGTAATGCTGTTGTTAACCTTGCATTGTTATTCTTCAATGTTTGTAATTCTAACTCCCACTTCTTTGCATTTGCAGAACTGAGGAAAAAACAAAACAATTTTTTTTTTTTCATTTGTTTGTGATGGCCTCCTTCACAAAAACACACTCACAGGGCTGATTAAAACTCTGTTGCGATTCCCCGTCTTTGAATAATCTTTTGCTAAATATTCACTCAAGTCAGCATGAGAGTTCTCTCAAGATTCATCTGCAATGATTTACTTTTAAGGACACTTAGTTATTCACTTACTTAATAAAAAAAAAGAACAAAAAGCATGACCAAAATGCTGTTATTCATAAAAAGCAACAGTACAGACTGGTAAACAAAATTGAAGTAAAAAATCTTTAATACGTCAAATTTTAGCATGATATAAGTAAAAGTCAATTAACTACTGATTTAGAATCTGCAGATTATACTATAATTTGTTAAAAAGGTGTTGTTCACTCTAAAGAGAAATCGGTACATCTGCACAGAGTTGAGTTTTAAAGTTATTCACAAACAACCAACTATCCTATCTGAGCAGAACTTAATAATTTTTTTTTAAACGTATTTAGAAGAGGTAGATTGTGCACTGCACTATATAACATGTAATTCTGCTGTGCTTTTATGGGGTTCCAAAACTAGGAAACAAAATAGCCGGAAGTGATAGTACATTACAGTGTGTTAGGTTTGTCACGTAATCTGTCATTTGTATGTGACCAGATTGCCAACGGTAAATTACTACCCATGTCGGCATAGCTATTTGTACATCTATATATAACTCAAACTCAGCTCTTATTTGAACCTTGACCTTTCTTATATAGTACTAATGATTCCTCCATCCACACTGTTCTCTTAATGATGAGTTGATTCGTACTTGACTGGTCTACACCGACTCTTTCTATAGACATTACTTCATAATAAGTATATTACTATCTCCATCACCAAATTAAGGAAAGTACTTACCTTAACATGCACATCACCACATCATTAAATTACTGTAAAAATGCTACGGATATGTACTAGTATCACTTTACATTTTATATTAGGTTAGGTCTAGGTAACATCTTTACAGCGTTTTGGGATTCCCTTAAGGAGGTAGTCAAGATATTCCTTCCCTCCACTAATTTTAGGAGTTCTGTAGCTAATTATGAATACTGCTTTGGGTAAGTAGAAACACTTCTAAAGTCTCCCTCACCAGGGTTACAGGCATCAATATTTTCATTTCTATAGTGAATTGAGTGCCATAAGCATTTTTATGGATACTGGAGCATTATAAATTCAGAATATTATTTCATATAAATTATTATGTTTGTTAATATTATACATTCAAGCTCAGATTGTGGTATATTTAGGAATATTATAAGTTTTTCTTGTCTAGGCAAGCAGATAAGGCTAATTAATAGCTCATGTAGCATACTGTATAAAATTATATATAAATAAAATATAAAATTGAATTGTTAATAATATTCATCATTTCAGAGGAAAACATCAATTTTTTTATCGGTAGCATTGTGTCCCAACATGAAAACACAGTAGTAAAGATTATCAAAGAAGGTAACTTATTTATTTAAATTTGTAATTTATGTTTTTTTAAATGTAAAATTATTTTGTAATGTATAATTTTTTTAACTGTAGATTAGTAAAAAAATATATATAAATTTACTTTATACATTAAATAATGATATAATGCTTGCACTTAAAATGAAATATTTGAAAAAACAACATTTATATATATTTTTATTTCTTCCTAGGCTTGACATATTTCATAATACTGCTTAGAAACGTTAAGAACTAAAACTCCTATCAGATTTTCTGCAGCATCAATTTTAATTTCTTAATATTCACATCATGTATGACAAACCAATAAATAATGTTTTATAGCCTTCCTTGGCTACATTAGTTTTAACACATTTTTTTCATAAAAAAAAAACATAGAACATCAATGTAATATACTGTGCATATGCACATGTGATCAGGATTCTGGCAAAATGCCAACTTCTACAGTGTAGTTTTCACACTATATTTGAAAAGAAGATTCTGAGGTGTCATTATGGCTTTTTTTCTTTTTCATAAATGTAATAAAAAACAACTCCTACATCAGCTTTCAAAACATATAAAAAGAAAATCCAAATCTTGTAGTAGATGCGATTTATTACAGATTATAATAATGAGGGTATTATTTTATAAAACATTGAATGCTGGAGAAAAAGTATGGAAAACTTTCTTTGTGATTCAACAGAATGAGTTTTGTAAATTTTGTTTCACTTACATTTTAAAATGGGAATAAAGTGAAACTAATGAACGATCACAACGATTAAATCTAACATGATGATAACTGCCTATACTACAACATATCATTCATATTTATGATGACTAAAGTTACATTTACACTAGACACGATAACGACACTACAACGACATATCATCGGGTAGTTTGTATTCTTCAACACTGCGTGCATCTGTATTATGTCGTTGTCATGTCGTAATCGTGTCTAGTGTAAATGTAGCTTTAAGATTCGATAGTTTATTGCTATATTAACCATCACGTCCCATCATTCGCTTGATGTGACTGCTCTTATTCCGTGTGATTTACTAATTTTATCTTTTGTACAGTTGTCAATGAAATGTAATTGAACTAAACAATGCACAATTCAAAGTCTATATACTGTAGCCATCATAAACTTTTGAAAAGGGACCATTCCCAATATTATGTACAAACAACAAACTGAGGATGAAGGTTAAACACCTTGTACACTTTTACAAATACATGAAAATGTGTTTTAAATGATGTTTTTAATAAAGTGACCATAGATCAATGTAAGGAAGAATACACCAAAAAAAATATATATATTTACAATAACCTCATAATTTTTCAGTATCACTACCGTGGCTCTTAATGTGATACCGTATACAGGTCTCCTTCCAATTAAAGACCAATTTTGGGACCGGGGTTTCATGGCTTTTAGTAGCTTTGGTCTCTAATTAGAAGAATAAAGATAAAAGACAGTCGTTAATTATGGGACCACAGAAAAGTGGTGTTTAATTGGAGATGGTATGGTAGTGGTGAGGGATAAAGCTGTTTCTGCATTTATTTATTGTAATTTTATAAACTAATACAGCTACATTATCAACTGCAATGATCCTGAAGATTACGCTTGGATTTGTTTATAGTTTTCTCTTTAACTAGGTTACTTCTTACGATAGTGTATACTTAGTGTAGTTTAGCCTTTCACATTATCAACATTTCCATAAGTGAACAAACGAGTACTCCCTTCTGAAAGTGCACATAAAAATTTTGATTTTGTTGCCATTTATATTTTTATATCATCCTAATTTCAATGTAGGTTTATTTATAAATATAACTTGAATTATTATTAAAGCATGATTACTGTTAACCATTACTCAATGTTAGTAGAAGCATGGAGGTATATATATTTTATAACTCTATGGTAGAAGCACTGTGACTATTGTTATACAATTTTACTATTATTATTGCTATTCAATATTATAGTAACTATAATTTTAATATTGTGAATTTAGTAATTCTTTGCTATTGTTAGCCTTTATTTTTTATGTCCACAATGTCCAAAAATTAAAACTCAGAATAAATTACAAATTATGACAAACAGAGTTACAATATTATCATTCAACAATCAGTATACACAATAACATTTTGTATTTGAAGTACATTATTAAATTTTTAGTGAATATTTAACAATTGACATGGGTTGAGGAGCACAGAAGGGGCTGGAGCCGACCCCCAACCCCGGGTTGCAAGATGACATGGATTAAGATGCATAGAAGCAGCCAGAGCCCCTCCACCCTCAACCAGCTCATGAGATGCCAACCATGCACTCTGATTTCACAACCTACATGCTGGAAACACCTTGTGGTTGTCCAGCTTGGGACTAGGCAATTAAATCGTTTATCCAAGTATTCATGAAGTACACATTAGCATAAGCCCTCTTGTAGTTTTATGTGCATGTGTCCATGTCAAGTGTCATTTGCATATAATTTCAAGTTCTAGTAGCCTTTCAGCTAAATTTTCGACTGGTATAGCATGCAGAATGAAAACAACATGATCAGAAATAAACAAAAAATTTATACAGCGAATATTATCATTTTTAAGAAATAGACATATTTAACAATTACTGAAGAATGTTTGCAGTAACTGTGTTAAGTGATAATGCTTATAAACATCCAGACCGTAGTATAAGCAGAATTTGTTATGTGGTTTGCCCTTTGACATCATGCACGCTTAAAACAAAAAACAAGATGACTTGTTAAGAATACAAATGACACGGACATAAAACTATAAACCAACAAGTGACTACGTCATATTATTATTATTTGTAACAGGGATAAACACTTAATAGATCTTGAAATGACTCCTTGATCTTCGACATTGTGATTGACCTTGATAGTCATGTGCACTTGAAACTAAAAGACAACTTATTGAGAATTTAAAATGACATAACACTAGAAACCATCAATACCAAGCACATGTTAGTTTTTTGTTAGTTTTAAACAATGATAAACATTTAATAGATCACTAAAATGACTTCTGGACCTTTGACATATTGATTGACCTTTGATAGTCAGTTTTATACAAGAATAAACACTTGATGGATCACTAAAATGACACCTTGACCCTCTGACATATCGACTGATCTTTGATAGTCATGTACACTTGAAACAACAATCATGTTAGATTTTTCAGCAAGGATAAACATTACACTTAAATCATTCACCCAAGTCAAAAACAGAACTAAATTTATCAGATTTACTAGATGAATGATCAAAACTGAACAAGGTTACGTGTAGGATATCATTTTACATTTTTAATATAAAGAAATATGAATCGTCATCTACTTGCTATTTAAAGGTCATTATTCGTTCTTTATTACTATGTGACCTTTTCAGTAAAAGATTCCTCTTATCCCACAGGGCCCGGCGCACATAAAACAAACCAAACGAAGACATTTCAATACAACACAAAACAATAACTTCAAAATCCTTAAAAATCTTAATATATAACAGGATAATTTAACCCATTTTCAGTTTATTTGAAGAATAAACCCGATTCTTCTTTTGATCACATTTAAATAATAATGATAATAAAAATTGTCATATTATTAGGTGCAGGTATTCATCTCTTGGTAGAGCTGCTCGCAGCGCCGTTTTCCACCTGCAGAGTGTACATGTAGCCTTTTTTCTGCATAATTATTTTGAATTAATTAATTTTATTGTAGTTTAGTTCCAGCTCTAGTATTTCATTTATTTTATATGGTTCGCATTTTAACTAAGGGTGCGTTCGAGCCAGAAATATATCCGTGCGAGGTCCGTGTATTTACACGGAAGTTAAATGCCGTGTGTGGCTCGAACGTGGGTAAGATGTAAAAAACATCTGGAACACGCTCGCCTATTTTGACCACCAAATTTAGGGTTATAGAACCGTGTATCGCTGTCAGAGGCCATTATCGCGACCATTAATCATGTTTTAATGACTCTACCGTCTGGCGGTCAACATGAATTCAATTCAACACGCGCGAAAACCATAAGCCTGTCCAGTTTTGCAAAAACAAATGCATTCGCTGACCTGTTGTTAATGTTATAGCATCACCTTCATCATTTCAACATGTCTGTGTGGACCGAACCTATGATACGTTACCTTCTCTCATTGTGGGGGGAGACAGAATACAAAGACAACTGGACGGCACCCGCCGAAACAGCGGTATTTACAAAGAAATAACTGCAAAGATCAAAGAAAAATTTAGGGGAAAGCTGACGGTGACACAGGTCACCAATAAACTGAAGTATTTGCGCAGGGGAGTACAGTACAAGTGCGTGAAGCGTGGTTAGAAACGTAAATATTGCGTGGCATGATGGGATATACTATTGCCTCGCTGACCTCAAACGAGTATTTCCGAGGTAAATTTTTACACGGTTAGACAAGATAAGTTTGTGCTCGAATGCGGGGACCACACGTGGTGTAAAGCCGTGCGTTTACCTGTCATATACACGGAATTTAATAGGCGTGTATGGCTCGAACGCACCCTAAGAAAAACAAATGGGGAGGCAAGTGCAAATAAAAAATAAATTAAATCACCAGCATTCCCAATATTTTTTTCTGCTCATACTTATACTTCCCAAAATGTGTTACCTACCAGTTATTAGTTCTCTGTTTTCAGATTTAAATAATATGCTTTTTACTATCTACAAACATTCTTTATATTTAATAACAACAAAATAAGTTAATATTTTTAGTTTATTGCAAATATATTCTAATAGACTTTGATTCATTGTTTGGTTAGTTCATTGATTGTTTGTTTCTTATTCTGTAATTTATATTTAATATTTTGGACCACAATGGAAATAAATTTGCCTTTTTGGTAGTTCATTGTGTTTTTATCCATGAATATTATTCTTTATATTCAGAATAAAGAAATAAAAACTTGCATATTGGCTAGAAGGTGCCAGAGGCTAGCATATTATGTGTAACATGAATAACAACAATCCTGCTTCATTGCTGGTGGGTGAAGACCTTCAACATTAATTTCTTCCTACACATTTCATAATTGCTTACTACTTTAATTATTTGTCATGTGTTTCCTTGTTTACAGCAAACAGGCTTTTATATTTCTAAATTTATCATGCAAATACAACCATAAAAATTGGAAGGTGCCAGAGGCCCGTAGACTTATCTATACATTACGAATGAGGCATTAGTTTCCACCCCCTTGTTTGATAATTACTCTTTGATATACTTACCTTTTCATGTATTTTCTTTTACTTTATGTGGTATATAAATAGATGTTATCAAGGGATATAAACCTAATGTCTTGGGATTTTACCTTAATGATAGTGCCTTACATTTTTGTAAAGTGCTTATAAATAGATCTATATTAAGATATGAAATAAACACCATTGGATTGGACCAATGTAGATCTATCTTTCCCTTCATCACTCAGATTCTTGTTCCATTCGCCTTCAGATAATATCATTTTTATTATTTGTAATTGAAAACAAGTCTTTAAATATATATTTCATAGATTATTATAGTAATTACCATGATTTTATTCAGAATTTATTTAATTTTGATTTATTATTGCTATTTTTAATTTGTATAAATTATTAGTAAGCGTATTTTCACATTTAAAGTGAATTTATGTTGCCATTTCATTTGTTTTAAAAGCTTTTAATTTATTGTACATCTTGGTCTTTATGTTTCTGTGTAGTTTGTTTTGTGCTATATACAATTATGCTTACCTTCTTTAAATTTTACTAATATCTATAGGGGAATTGTTTATATGGACTTACGCCCGCTCAGCAATCCTTGCTTGCTTGGTTTTGTTTGTTTCATTTACTTGATTGAATTGTGTATGTAATCCATGTTGCAAGTGAAATAATTTTGAATTTGAATCTACCACAAAAGTTAAGTCATGTAATTTCTGCCTTAATACCTGTATACACAATAATATGTTTATATAAATCTCAACACCTTGAGATTGCAGACTAACTGTATCAAAGCTTCCACGACTTACCTTTGTGCTAATGCTATCTTTAACCTGTCATTCTCGTACTTTAGTTGCGAGTCCTTTGCTGCCGATGTCACCATCACAACGTTTGAAGAATCATTACTACTACCACTACCGGATCTGTCCTATTATTTTTAAAAGAACAAAGGAATAAATGGATCAATCAGAGTTAATGGTTTTGAATGGTTTCTCAATTTTAATAAAATATCTATTTTCCGTTTTTTACATTTTTTTTTTACAGATTGTTATATTGCAATAGGGTTTAGGGGTTAGGGGTTCAAATCCAAGGTTTGTGTGAGTAGTTTGCTCAGTCGGACAAGTGTTAGCCAGTGTGTATGCGCTGACTGAAATGTGAAGACGTCTTGGTCCCCGGTTCAATTCCCATCGCTTCCCTCCTGGTGTTTAATTACCTGCAGGACTGAAACGCAAGTTTCAACAGCGCACCGTCTTTCGTTTAAGCCACTAGTCTGTATGGCCTGTGTGCATGTTAAATGGCCCATGTGCATGTTAAATAACACAGTGCATGTTAAATAACACAACACTCTTTGAAAAAGAATAATGGATTGTCTCTTGTTGTACTACCCAATCACCACCAGAAGGACCCCACTTGCAATAAGCCATCTTCGGACTTTTGCGGGTTACCCTTAGTCATGGTGATTACACCATATAAATCCAATCCAATCCCTGTGTTTTTGTTCAAGGCACTTTACACCAAGTTATTGTTTTCCACCCTGGACAAAGTTGATGTCTGTTACACTGGAATGTCTGCATAGCTGAAACATTATGAAATACTTCACTTCACTAGCGAGCTGACTATATCTACGGAAATGTGATATTGTTTTGATAAACAAATATTCTAGGTAGCATTTCAAATGTCATGAAATCAAACCTGTTACGTCGGCATGTGCACAAAAATTATGGTAACATTTTATATGTGCTTCTTTTTCACATAATGTTTAGTTTTGTTTCAATTTATGATTATTTTTACATGTCAAAAAGAAAATTAAACACATACTATAATAAACACATCAATTTAATGATGCTTTCACAAGAGATTCAATTACCTACTCCCCCTTACAACTTAATTTTTCATAATTATTTTCCATTTTATAGTTTAGTCACATAACAGTTGACAACGTCTTGGCACATAAAGACTGTGCATGAATTCAAGTGCTGTACAAAATATTGGAATGGATTGATCATCTATCATACCACCCACCCACATCCATACAATAACAATTTAGTAGAAACATAGGAATTCAAGACTTTTATGTATGACCTGTTTTTCTGACTAGCAAAACAAAGTCATAGAAAAGTTACAAATCATATCTTTGATGATGGACAAGAGATACATAAAATTTCCATGATGATTGGCAATATTTATGTGGAAGAAAGGAGAAATAGAAGCCTAATAAATCTCAATCTGCAGATTGAAAATCTATCAGCCATCACTGAAAACAGAATGATGCCAATTAATAGTCTTGATTTAACTTGAGAAACTTAGCATACAATCAATAGTAATAATATCCAAGGGCATAGAGGGAATTGCAGGGGCCCAAAGGTAAACAATGAAAACCCCAACCCCAAATAAAATAAATAATGAATAATGACATGAAAGTCTCAGCCTTTCTTAACATCAGTTGCACATATCTAGGAATCTTGAAATGGGGTAGGGGGAGGGGAGGGAGGTGTAAAGGTGAAGTAGGGGCTCAATGATTAAAAGAGGGGCACTAGCTCAAAAAATAAGGTGATATGAGATGATTTTTATCTACTTTAGCATACATTTTTTGCTTCATATTTTTTCAATGCAGGGGGGAGGGGATCAATTTTTTAGGGGATAAGCCACTGCTCAACATTCCCATTCTTGTCACCTTACAATAATTAATATATGTTACCAGATGTATTAAATATTTTACATAATATTCATTTTATTGTAAATTTCAATATCAAAATATTATGGAGAATGTACATTAATTTAAAAACTGCCTTTGTAGAGCCAATATAATTAAACAGTAAAATTTGAATTGATTCATCAAGTTATTATCAAATGCTACCTGGAAGATGATTTAAGAATTTCTGTAGTAAAATGTCTATAAATAAGAGAAATCTGTCTCATAAGTTAATAATTTATTTGATAGATTTAATAAGCAAAGCAAATGTTGAGTGGGAGTTTTTATTGTTTTTTTTTTTGTTTTTGTTTTTTTTTAAATTTTTTTTATAGATTTTATCACCAAAAATATCACCACACTACATTCCTTTTTTTTTTTTGGTTGGTGATTGATTGGAAAGGTCCAACCAATGTCCCATAACACTGTCTGCTTTACTGCTTTACATTACCAGTGGTTTGATAGCACATAGGACATTTACCTAATATCTACACAGTCAATTACCATTGCCATTATCTTTCAAGAACACGCTATATGCAAATGATGATAATGATTTATGATGCGAGTGAATCAAGTCCTGCTTGCATTTTTCTGTTTGATTTATTATTCATTGTTATATGTTCATTATTACTTCTGCTATATTAACAATACATGCACAGAAAAAAAAAAACATCATGTATATATTTTCAAAGAATACATGAATTATAGGCCTGATTATAAATAACTTTTGTAATTAGTAGTCTGGTTTTGATATGCCGGCCTATTTATTAATCTTTCTAGCATATTCATGTTTGCATTTGATTATTTCCCAGAAATATGTACATATTGAGGATACAAATTAAAAAACATAATGCACTAGCACTATTCTGTTGCATTGTTCCATGGCATACAATAAAACCTTGAACTGAAGCCCTGGGCTTCTTTTTTTTGCGAACTTTGAATGGGATTCTTTTCGAGGCTACTTTTGCAAAGTAAAATGGTGGGCTTCTTTTCAAAATGAATGCTATCATTTTGTGAATTTGTATATAAAACAATAAATAAGGCCACTGTAACGTGAACCTATATCATGGAGTGTATTTAACTGGCATTAAATCACCTAAACTACTGTATAAACCAAGCTTGTTTTTACTTAATTTTGTTTTTTTAAATTCATGCACAGTGTATGTGCTGTACTATCTCGAAAAGAAGACATGCTATCTTGAAAAGAAGCCTGTGGTCTTCTTTTCGAGGCTAATTTTGCAAACTAAAGAGGGGTCTTCAATTCGAGATGGGCTTCATCATTAAAGTTTTACAGTATCAGTCCTATTTAATGCTCCTTTCCTGTTTAGCCTACACTATTATCAACGAATATAGAACTACAAGGGGTTCGACTCCCTGGGTTTCGTTGGAACGTAATCCTATTTCAAAAAGTACTACCACGAACTAGAGGGCGTACTTCAAAAGGCAAATTTCGAACTCTATTCAAATTCTAATAAGGAGCCCTTTACCTCGTGGTACACGTTTCAGTGTGTACAATACAAAATCAGGCTAGTCGGACATCTTGCAATCCTAGTATACTCTTTTATTAATAATACTCGCTATTATTTAAAACTTTACTCCTATTTTAGGTTTTACTTCTATTCTAAAAAGTTTCAAACCTATATACCTGGTGTCTACCGACAGAATATGTATTATAAATTTTTAATAAAATATAACACAGTCATAATGCAGCAAATATAATACAATTCTATGAAGTTCTCCATGATTGTTGAGATGTACTATTTGAGAACTGTGATATGAATCAATGTGAAAGCTCCTTAAAATAGCCACTGAGGAATAAACAAAGCATTCTGTTAATGTACTATGATGCTTAGTATATTTTAGGTTTTTTGCTTCTATTCCAAAAGTTCCACACCTATATAACTAATAGCTACTGACAGAATATTGTACATTTTGTATCATAAAATATACCATAGTCATAATGCAGCAGATATAGTACAGTTCAATAAAGTGCTCCATAATGGTTGAGATGTACTATTTGAGAACTGTGATATGTGAAAGTTTCTTTAATAGCCACTGAGGAATAAACAAAGTCATCTGTTAATGTACTATGACTATGTGTGTATACATTTTATCATATACATTGTACTATCGTAATCTCGTTAATCTACTGTTTAATAAATCTTTTAATGGAATTTGATAGCCTACTACATACAGACTGGAAGTATGTGGTATATTGGTGAGGAGGTGTTCTTCCAGTGGAAAGATGGAGGCTATGCCATTGTTTGTGGACAGTGGTTATTGTTACACCAGTCATATCCCAATTCTTGTAGGTGACACCAGTTACGCATGCGGAGTACGGTAATCTGTTTTTGGGACTTAAAATTTAAACAATTTTATGATGTAGATGTTTCTAAATAAAAATACTAATAAATACATAGTTTAAATTAGTACTAGCAAATACCCGTGCTCCCCACGGTGTTGATTGAGTAGGGAAAGGTGGCGATGTATATTGTTGAATGTAATGGGGGGTCGAGGAGGCAATCATTATTGATGTTATGGTTAGCATGTTACAATTTTTCTAAAGGATGTCTTTGTATGAGTGTCTATGCTGGATAGTCCTTTTGAGGAATTATTTTCCAGTTTGATGAAGGGCGCATCCAGAATTTATAGTTAAAAAAAAACAAAAACTAAAATGCCGACTCTCAATTTCAAATATTTTTTGGGTGGGTCGGGCGTGGACAACACAATAATTATTTTTTTATTTGGCCTAATATATTCAGTATACAATGGATACTCCTCCATGTTCGTATCATTAGAAGCAGATACAGGAACATGCTGCTCATATATTTTGTTGACGTGAGGCATGCGCGGCGACGTAATGAAGCTGCAAAACAGACTGTTTCTTTTACAGCCTGACGCAATATTTTTTAAATCTGAGGACTGTGTTCTCAACTGCACAGAACAGATTAACAGAGGGGATTTAGTTATGTGACGTAAGCGACTCTCGAAAAACGGCTAAAAAGTTACAGATTTTCGGTGATTTTTTGCTGTTTTTTGAGTTGTTATCCAATATCCAGCCTTGAAAATTAGCCGAATGTGGTCGTGACATATAGAAACCTCAGTGTATGAGATATGAGCACATTGCTTCCAGCGGTTTCAGAGGAAGATAGGTGAACTTACACTGTGGCGATTAGTAGAATTTATATTCAGATTATACAAACTGTAGTTAAATTTCCACTTTCTATCATTGATCAGGAACATAATTTATATTTTGGAATACAATAACTTAATAATGATAATATAGTCCTTTATACTGAAGTGTGTAAAGCACTTTGAAGAGATAACATCAATATGAGGATTGACTTTCACAGCTCACTGTACAGAAGTAGTAACCTGTATTCATGAAGACTTGATTAAATGCAAAAACATATTCCAATTAAAGAAACGAATTCAAATTCATTCCTCCGCTGCAATCAGTTAATTTGGTGCCATGATCAATAGCTGTACACTGACTTTGAATAACCTATTAATCTAAAAAATCATTCATGGAAGTGTTTTTTTAATAATCCCGGAATACATTTGGTATTGTGTTGTTAAGATTATATAGATCAAAATGATTGCACTATTTTTCCAAAAATAAATAGTTTCTTTCATGCAAAAGACAAAACTGTTCATTATCTTTCTTGTTATGAAAATTCTTATGCACCACCTCCACTACAGTACCTTCAAACACATTCATTGAAAGACGTGTAAATATTCACAAACAAAATAATAATAATAATAATAATAATAAGTGATGACTGAGTTGTTCATTAACCCTCTAAATACACCCTGATGATGATGATGATATGATATGATGAAGATTATGTTGAGGATGATGATGATGATGACAATGACAATGATGTTTATTATAGGATTTGTGATGATGAGAATGATGATGGTGAGGATGGTGATGATGATGTTTATTAGGATTTGTGATGACTGTGATGAATATGATGATGGTGGTGATGAATATGATGATGATAAGGATGATGATGCTGATTTCAATGTCTGTGATGATTATAATTATGATGATGATAACACTAATGTCCTATTACCCACATGTACATACCCCAATCTCACCTTAATGTAAAGACAGTGATGACAATATTATGTCTGTGATGATTATAATTATGATGATGATAACACTAATGTCCTATTACCCACATGTACATACCCCAATCTCACCTTAATGTAAAGACAGTGATGACAATATTAATGACGATGATGACGATAATGATAACAAGGATAACTGAACTTTAATTTCCTATCATTCTATTGATAGAAAGAAAGTATACACTGGTCAATAATTTGAACACTACCAATTATAATCCTGACATCAACCCCTGCATCATCCTCAGGTACAGTATACCGGAAAGAATTATTTTTATTTTTAGAACATGATTTAAACTTGGTGCTTTAATCTGATTGATACGTACTCCGCCTGTATATAATGTTACTGTTAATTAAAGCAAATGAGCTTACAATTTTCACTCTCTCATTTGAAGAAACATAGGAAATAGATGTGCTTGATAATCGGACGTTCCATTAAGCACGGTAATTGGGTGCTCACTCAACCATGACATCTATGTATGTCTCAGGGGGATGACTTGTTTTAACATAATGCATAGTTTGTTTTAAGGGTTTAGGTCCAAGTTTTACATGCTAAGCCAGCATCTAAAGCCCCAGATCATTAGGCGCTTGGACAGCTTGTCTCAACAGCTGGTGCAACACCATAATAGCAGTGTTTGAGAATAGAAAATAAATGCTTATAGGTTAATGCCATTTTGAAGAGATGCTTCATCCCTTGTGTGCAGTATGTGTACGAAGATATCAGTCAATTAACGACTTAACCTGCTTACTAACATTTTCCATTTGAAATTAGCACAGACCTATAGTTGGTTAGTGTGACATAACTGAATGGAAATAGATCACCTCTATAATGTGTTTAATGTTAAATATGTGCTTGGACAGTGGAAAGATCAATAAGAAGTTAGCAAGGGCTTAGTTATCTACCATATATTCTCGCATGTAACGCGATTCTTGTATAAGATGACCCTGAGTTTGAAAACATTCTTGGACAATTTTTGTATGTCGGGCATACAGTATAAGACAACCGCCTATTTCTCTGTCGGAATACCTACTTTTTGAACATACTGCCCTTTTATGGTCTTGATATTAAATGTAGGGCCCATCTTCCAAATAATACCATTTTATGGGCTTTTAAACGTTCATCAAAATCTTATCCCTGCATTTAAAATTGCGTTCATTCATATCAACGGTTGGTAGCTTCATTTCAGCAGTAAATTACTGTTTTATGGACGATCCGCACAAAAAATTAACTTTTAAAATCAAAAATTTGTATGTATGTGTATATGTATAGAGTATTACGTTGGTACATCACGATACCATGTAATACTATTCCGTTGCAACCCAGCATGCAGTCAACCGGATCCAACTGACAAACCACTGATCCCAAATCTAACATAATTATAATGATGTTGTATCTTAATTTTTCTTTGTAAATTTGAACCGACGATTAAATGCGTTTGATAACTAATATAATGCAAGCTTTTGAGTTTTTAGTACATTTTGATTGTAAAATGGCTATTCCAGAAAGCCTATTCCAAACCAATAAGATTATGAAGTCATTCAGGCGTAACGACCGCATTACCAACATCTGGTCGACAACAAAGTGCGCCACCTGCAGGGGTGGATCCAGAGATGTCCAAAAGGGGGGCCGAAATTTGGGCCGATCGAGACAACAATGTCCTAGGGGTTCCGGGGGCATGCCCCCGCGAAATTTTTGTGTTCTAGACGCCCGTAAATAACATTTGAGGCATTGTGGGCTATCATTTTTTTCTTTTTCTTTCTTTTTTTCTTCTTTTTTTTTCCATTTTTTACCTCCCAAAAGGGGGGCCGGGCCCCTGACCTGGTTTGTGACGAAACTCGCATTGTACTCTATAGTTTTGTTTTTTTTATCGTATCGTACCCTGTTTTTTGCTATTATAAGCCTCGTATTGGATGCAAGAATATACAGTACATGTAATTAGATATAGATTATGAAAAATACCTAGTATTTGATAAGAAGATGGCAACAAAGCAGAAGGAAGAAGAAAAAAAAGACGACGAAGACCATGAAGCTAAATTAAGTTACAAATCAACTGATGTTGAAACACAAACTTACGTGATGAACATGTGAATTGACAATATTTGGTAGGTCACCACTCCCCTTTTCTGATGGGCCACCCTTTGTTGCTTCCTTCACCTCGTTGAATTTCTCTACAAACTAGAATCAAAAATTAATGTCAACTTACACGTATCTTTGTATTCTTTTCATTCTTTTTCTTCCTCAAAGCACTCAATAAGACTGAACTAACATCAATATCTGGAGGTTTTATCATTGTAAACATTCTAGTTATATATAAATTATATAGTTAACAAGATGCTGTATAGTAGTGTGAACAAGAATGAGGAAATGAAAGCTTTAATCCTCAAGATCTAGTCGTCTTCCTGCCAACATAAATTCTTTTACTGGTAGTTTTGGTTTTATTACCTATTGTCATGGTGATAGGTATACTAATATGGTATTATCGATTATTGGTTTCCATTTCCATGGTAACCAATACTATACAATTTTACTATATTGATTAGGTGTTATTTAGTTTAATGGTATCTTTTTTGTATTTTAAAATGTAATAAGTTTATTTGTATTGTATTTTTAAAGTTATTTGTTAATGCTTTAATTTGATGAATATATAAATAAATTTTGTGACTCAAGAATTCCCAATTAATGTTGCACTTTGAGTATGTCAGTAGAAATACACAACAAAATTCAATAAATCAATACAATACATTGACAGACTTTGATTTGTAGACAACATACTTTGTCATTACATAGCATATCATGATGCGTGTCAGGCAGAAAGTTGATCAAATTTAAAGTATGTTTGCTGTGACTGAAGCAACAATCTTATGATGACTAATGAACCTTTCTGGAGTGTCAACAGCTCAGCATCTGACCGATAAGAACAGTGGCGGATCCAAGGGGGGGGGGGGGGTCAGTAGGTTTGGATGAACTCCCTTCTATGACGAAACATAAAAAAGTGGGGAAAAAATGAAAATTGTATTCAAATTTAAGTCTGAGAATGCCTTTTCCGGCCATCCTGAGGTGCAAATCATAAATTTCCTTGCCTCACCCCAAGCCCTGGTAGGGCTGAGGTGGTCTAGCCTCCATCTATGAAAGTCTACACTGGGCCCCTTCTATTCGAATTCTGGATCCACCACTGTTCCCAGCCATTTAGGAATTAGGAATCAAGGTTTTCAGGGGAGACCCCGGATATTTCTTTGTTTTTTTTGTTTTTTGTGGGCGGGGGAGAACATTTTGAACCCCCTGCTTCAAATCCTGGATCCGCCCTGAATAATGTGTTATTGTTAAAAGCAGGTATATGTGCATGACCTATGAACGTACAGGTTTACGTATGTTTACCCTATCGTTTGTGGGACCTTAGCAATAATATCAAAAAGCCAGATCTTAGCAAAACAAACCTCTGAAAGTGTGTTGTGTAGTGGTAAGGCTTTGGGGTTTGTTTTGAATGGTCTGATGCTGGTTAAATAGCTTGTGTCTTTTGGAATCCAACTAAGGGCACAAATGAAATGCACAGCATGTGGTTGAACCTTTGACCTCAAGATTAACTCTCAAAATCTTGATAGGTCCACCAACCACCAACCTCTCTTCATTTACAATTATAACCAATAACATTGCATCCGCTATCATTACCATACTCATTAAGCCATCACCATCAAAAACATTACATTCATCTCATCCCCATCACAATAAATGTCTTAAGTCCCGTCCAAATTTTATTTGACATAAACATGTGATGTGCCTAAATATGGTCACGATGATATCACACCATGACCAAATATAGGCACATCATGACTATATATGGGCATACAACATTTTTTTTGTCAAATAAAATTTGATATAGAGAGAGCTTTAAACTCTATTTCTATCCTTCAAATGTCTTACCTTGTTTAATTCTGCCTCAGTTGAAAATCCTAATCCATAAACTGTGCTTGCTTTACTATCTGACCATTGACCAAATTTCTGAGATGTTTTGGTAAATGACATTGAAGGGTTTATAGTACTGTTAATTATAGCCTGGAAAACAAACACATTAACAATATTACTTAAGATACCCGTAGCTAGTTTCTCTAATGCTTGTAAAGACGATCTTAAGCTATTGTACTTTTAAAATATGATTTATTTGAAGAAACCTCAGGAGTAGAATTCCACATAATGTTCGCTTCTAGAGCTATGTGTATGCACTTCTGAGCTCCGAAGAAAATCTGGCACTGTGACCTTTTTCATAACAACAATAACATAAGAGTGATAAAAACAGCATTTGCTATGATGATTTAACATTTTGGAGGCACTATGTTTTCATAATTTGATATAATTCGATGTATTCTTATCTTAAATTACTTTTGCGGGACATTGAGCTCTGAGTATTGCTTATCACTTCCAGGAATCTTGCATACTTCCTGGCTTTGAAGTCGCTTCAAGTAAATAGAGCATGATTACAAGTGCTTTTGTGAATATTGTTAAATTTCACTTCAGACAGAAGGCCACATAAACTGCATGATCAATAAAAATTTAATTGTTGTATAGTTTACATACTGAAAGTATAATGTACCAAACACATAAAACTTAAAATTGAAATGGCGTACTGTACATTACTATAAAAAAAATTAACTACCTGTAATATATGATGCTAAGCCTTTTCATTACAGGCCCATTTAAGTCTTTTCTTAAATAAATAAATATTAGAAAAATTAGAAAAATGAGCACTGTTTGTATGACGACAGCATTATTAGGCAGCTCTCAATTTGCATGACAACGCGATGCTAGAACGGATTCACTTATGCATGACCGTCCTACCATGCGTCGTGCATTTTCTGCATACGTAGATTTGGCCAAATTGCATCCTAGAATCCATGCGACAAGGAAAACTTAACATTCTCGCATGTACAGGTGACTTTTAGTGACGTCATTACATTCTACGTCCTACAGTACGTTCTACTATCGTTGTGTAATGGAAAGCTCCCTATTAATAAGAGAGGGACCTTTGCAAGATAAATTTGCTTGCAATATTATTGCTCTTGCCTTATACTGAAGGTTGTAAAAGGTGCAATTTTTAGACAGAAAATCATAACAAGGTCATTTTAGTCCATATAAAATCATACAGGTTCCTCCAGTCATCTTTTTCATTGACGTCATTTGTAAATCTACAGAGTTACCAGAGATTCCAGATTAGACAAATGTGCAGGCATGAGACTTTTGAAAACCACCCCCCACAATTCCTTGCCACTACAGTACTTACTGTAGGGTAGCATTTTTACAACTGAAATTCTATCCACAGTCTACAGTACATTAATTTTCTTGAGAATAGGCCTACTTTTATTTCAGGTTGTGAACATGAACCTATCACACTAACATCGTCATGAGCTGCAGGTGGCAGCTGGCAGTATGTAGGTGTTCTTTGATCATTCAACAAGCTTTATAAAATGACATATTCTCAGGGTTACTGCATCAAAAATGTACACGAAAACGAATGAGTGAGTTTCATGCAAAATGCATGAGACTTGGTAGGTATGAGTTACAGTACTGTAGCAATTCAACATTTAGGTTGATGCTATGTATGTTGTTCTTTGACAGCTGTTTGAAATTTATACATTTGTGCATGGTTTTTGGAAAAATTCACTTAACAATGTCAAACCTAAGGCATGTATTAAGTAAACAACATAGTTGACATACAGTATGGTACAAAGGGCCAAGTAAACTTATCCCCTATATATTCCTGTAAGTTAACCTCAAAATGGGAAATTTATACACATTTTTCTGAGATGATGACCTGGGGAACCTGATTAATTTCATATGTAAAAATTCAAAATAGCTCTCATGATACAAACTTTTTTTTTTACATGACTTTTGCTTCTGGGCATGCTCTCTGAATAGTACACATCAATGAATTAAATGTAATTACACTAAATACAATATCACTTCCTTTTGGGAATGTCTATTAATCTATTTTCATTTGATTAAAACATCTTTTATAGAAGATTATTTTATTTTTTAATATTTTTTTTTTAAATAACTACTGTATTTTAAAAATACTATATAAATAATAGCAAAATTAAACAATACAATAGTCTAGAATTTCATAAGGCTTTTTAATAATTGATATGTACAAAAATACATTTTCCCCAACAAATTTTTTTTGCTCCTGTGGCTGATGCACCACCCTTAAGATCTGCTAAAACATAGAATAAATGAGGTATGTTGTGGCAAAATGGCTAAGTTGTAGCAAAAATTGATATTCAAGTCATTTCAGATACCTGAGTATGTGATCTTTAAAGTGAGGGGTCATTCATTGAAATTGGACATTTCACGCCAAAGTTATTGGAAAATTAAAGTACAACACTCTTAGAGTCAAGAATAACATGATTATTGAGTAATTGCCTTCCAAAACTATTTGTGCATACATTGTTTAATAGAATTAACTATCTTAGTAACATTAAATAGATGATTTGTTGACCACTTTCAGAACTAATACTTTGGGACATGATTAAAAGACATTAAACTGTTGATCTATAGTGAAAAAAAATTTGGATTTTTAGGCAATTTTTTGGGCTCCCATATCTTATAGCTCATTTACTGAATGCTGGCCTGTGCGACAACTTAACCATTTCGCCATGACATGCCTCAAATGATAGTTAACAAGCAAGCAAATTACCATGATAATACATAATTGAACCTGGTAAAACACTGATTAATGAAAGTATGCTATAATGCATATATGGTTAACCCCTATTCAGTGGACATATGAGGATACTTTTTTTGGACCTAAAAGTATCTCTTAATAGGGAATCTACTGCATTTATTTTCAGTTCATTGAAAATTCAATCAACCACTTTTATAGAAATACTGTACTGCATGCATTCCTGATTAATAATTATTCATCTGTTAATAACCTAAAGCCAGTTATGCTATCATCAACTGTCCATGAACACATCAGAATCAACCGTAGCTTAAAGCACTACATCTAAATTACAGTACCTTACTGCCATCCACGCTAATTATACGATATATGTTTTTTGTGTTGTCATAGAAATATGAAATGTTGACGGCCTGTTTACTGGAGGGCAACCAGTTCTTTTTGGAAACCGGGTCGATACGGAACACATGAGCTCTCGTTGTGAAGATTGGTTGTTCCCTGTAAATATCAAATGAAAAGTTAATGAGAAAAATTATAAGAAAATCATCAGAGGTCATTATTCGATAGCAATTTAGACATGAAAATGATATTGACTCAACCTGACAAGTTTTTGAATCCACCTAATGGATGTTCAGTATAATAAGCTTGTTATTAAGTGATCTATAAGCAAGACATGTACCCATGACCTCAAAAGTCACTTAATGCTCAAAGCAATTGAATGACTTAGTGAAACAAAATTAAAATTGGAAATATGTTTCATGATCTTTAAAACATATGTAATAAAATAGTTCCTTCTGAAAAAATGTGTAACATATTTTATACTTTGGGGAAATGGTTTTATATTTCATATATACAGAATGATAAATAAAAAATCTAATGATCATGATCTGTGGAAGTAAAATTTTTCAAGCTTGTACAGTGATTATTTTTACACCATTTCAATCAGGACATCCATGGTACAGTGGGCATTACTGTATATCACTGTGCAAAAGATCTCATAGTATTTCAACAGAGTTGTATAACTTGCAGGTATTGTTAAACTCCACAAACCTCGAAAAGCACACTGTAGAGCCCAACCAAACCACTTTATTGTATTTGGATCATGTAGTATTAGACTTACTTGGTATCTTGATAGAAAAAATATTAAATATCATTTTATGTTCATAACAACTTATTTTTGGTTAAAATGTTGATTTCTATTGTAATAAATTATCATTCCTTTCCTTACTGTAACATATTTATTACATAGAACATTCTAGGATTGTATTTATTTGACCAAACAAACAGTGTAATTCCACACTGGTAATTATAGGAACATAAGAGACAATGTGGAAGTACTAAAAGCAATTGCCTATTGGTTAATTATGATGTAATGTGACCAATGAGGAACTTAGGCAATATAGAACGCTCTTTAATGCTCTGCAGTTCTAGGGCTTATGTATATAAGGTGAGAGCTTCGTCTTTCGGGAGCTCTTTTTGAAGCACATGTTTAAGTGAATGTTATTGTGTTGTTTTGAGACCGGATTCTTGTTGGAGTTCATACAGAATAAAAGTTTGTTTTGAGTTGTGAGCTGTGTTTATATTTTATATGTCAAAGAGGGATTCCTAGTCATTTCTATACTGCTCGGAAATATGTCAAGTAGGAATTCATGACACTTTGTGCAAAAAAATGAAAATACACCATAAACCTCCAAAATCACACTGCAAACTCCCAAGTCTCTTGGTATTTTCAGGTTTACCAGTCTTCTTGTGATAGTACTGTACGGTATTATGTTACATGACTAATGTATATTATCAATTAGTTATTCATTTATTTCTTTATTATTGGTTTTACTGCATTTGTTTGGAAATCTCTAATCCTGTGTCAGCTATCCTTTAAGTACACTGAGCTACATCCTCTATTCTAAGAACAACTTAAATAATACTATAGCCAGATATCTTTGTGTCCCAATACCTCCCTCCAGGTCAGGTTGGCTTCATTCACATTAATCCCCTTCACTTCACCTCTGACCCTTGTTAGCTTCTTTGTTCAAAGATGTTAATGACACTTGGCTGTTACTTAATGGATTTTTCTGTCACTGTTAATGGAAGGAGTCAGATAGTAAATGTATAGCCTATGAATAAGCACAAAGCATAGTGAATTGGTAGTATACTATAGGTCACAGAAAATGACAGAAACTGTAACCAACGGTAGTACAGTGTTCGAAATAAGGAAAAACTTAAAGTTGTCCGGCGGACAACCTAGATGGAAACTTTGGTTGTCCGCAAATGTTTTTACTTGTCCGTATATTATCTCGTTGCTTGCTTCATTTTTACCTTGTACTGTTTTCCCTCCTGCTCTTGTAGCACTGTCAGAGCATGGGTTTGGGTAATTTACACTGCTTTTAGTACCTTAGTATTTGGTAATTTTAATTTCTCTCCTTTCCATTATGCAACCTTTGGCTCTTAGTCACCCTCTGTAACATGCTAACCTGCTTTGTAACATAGCAGCATGGTTCCTTCAAACCTAGCCATTTCCTAAGATCGTTCGACATGACGAAAAGTTCGATGAAAAGTTTGAACGCCTTCCCACGCGCGCCTCCATTCGCCTTGATAAGTGAGTCAGTGCCTTGTTGTGCGGCCCGCCCATAGAGCTATTAAACAACTAGAGTGCTGACAAGATGGCGCAGCAATACAGAGTTATGTATGTGTACCATCCAAGATGGCCGTCGTAGTAAAGCGCCACCTTCAGGCTTAGTATACATATTTGATTGGCTAAATTTATGGCAGCCATCTTGGATGGTACACACACACACAGTTCTGGTATTTCGAACACCGAATACATTGCAGTTAGCGCTCTAGTATTCTTATTGTATCTCTATGGGCCCGCCACAGTGTAAGTAACACGCGAGAGGGCGCCTCAGTTCAAGTCTCAGACCAAAATGCAAGAAAACATGTGATTCAGCGAATCCAAAATGGCAGCGCCTGTGACAACGCAGTAAAGTTCGGGAGGCAAAAAACGATTACTTGAGGTGAGGTGAGGTTTGGGTCCAAAATTTTTTGGTTGTCCCACGGACAAGTTGCCCTATAGTTCTGGTTGTTCGTGGAACATTTTGGTTGGCTGGGACAAGCGGACAAGCCTTATTTCGAACACTGGTAGTATATTGAAGAGATAATGTCCTTGATGTTGTTATCTGATGAAACAGAGTAAGGAGCAACAATTATAAAGACATTTTGCACAGTTGGGACCCTGACAACCATTACAAATAGTCTAGAGAAGTAGTGGGGACAGCTATATTAAGACACTGCTATTGGTGCATAGTCTACTGTACTGTACTTTACAAACTGCCTAGAGCTCTAGATAATAAATGTGCTTCACATAAGGAATTAAATATAGAAACTGGCAGTTAATGACAACAGTTGCGAGTAGCCATACTGTATTAGTCACAAATACAAGAGATAAGTTGGTAGAGCATTTATGACTATTAGTATTACAATAATATTTTACTTCATGGCCTTTCACAAAAATCGATGGGGCTCCATCAGGTAATAGTGAAGTGGTTCATTTAATTAAGCAGTAAATATACATCAACAAAATCTAATCAGATAAACAATCCGATTGCATCCAAAAGTTAACAAAAATTTAAAGTATTATCTTGGGGTGGAGTTGAAGGTAGAAAAGTAGATAGATTTCAAGGATACTGTAGGAAGTTGAAAGTGGAAAAGAAAAGGTAGGAAGCAGAGTTGGACAACTGGAAGTTTAAAAGTTTAAAAGAGTGCATTGGGAAGTGAAAATAAATACAGATTTCTCCTCTAATTAAGACCAATGTTGGGACTAGTGTTTCTATGGTCTTTAGCAGCTTTGGTCTCTAATTTATTATCTTGGGGTGGAGTTGAAGGTAGAAAAGTAGATAGATTTCAAGGATACTGTAGGAAGTTGAAAGTGGAAAAGAAAAGGTAGGAAGCAGAGTTGGACAACTGGAAGTTTAAAAGTTTAAAAGAGTGCATTGGGAAGTGAAAATAAATACAGATTTCTCCTCTAATTAAGACCAATGTTGGGACTAGTGTTTCTATGGTCTTTAGCAGCTTTGGTCTCTAATTTTAAATTTCAATTTCATTTTATTCGGGAAATTAAAATCACAAATTACTTGAATACAAAACCAATACCAAGAACAGACAAATGAAAGAACAATAGATAAGACATTAATTCCTAGGGAATTACTGTAGCATAAGACATTTGTTCATTTCCAACCACAGAAAAGTGGTCATTAATTGGAGGTAGTCTTTAATTGGAGAGGTCTTTAATCAGAGGGAGACCTATACTTTACACATGTGATGGAATTTGCAGATCTTCTGTATTGCAAATTTACTATCGGTCCACATCAGTTGACCCACATACACACACAATGGGAGTCAACTGGAGATTGATGTATATGGGCCTGGTGATGATACTCAAGAGACATTTTTTCCTTGAGGTCAAACTGTAATAATAGTAATAAAATCACTTGCATACAATAGAAACAGTGCCTCATAATTCAAAATCTCTTCTAAATGCATACTTTTGGTCAGTCACCTTTAATACTTAGCCCTAAGGATACAAAATAAAAACAGAAAGGTATACCAAGTGTTGGCAAAATACAAAACACATACTATATTCAAGCCTCATTACTACATTGTACAATACAATTATAAGAATACTTCAGAATTATGATTTATCTAGTGGATGGAAGGGGGGAAAGGGAGACAGTTATTTTAATGTGTATAAATATAATATTTGTAGCTTGCACATTGGCATTTTCAGATTTTCAGGGGCGGATCCAGGGATGTCTGAAAGGGGGGTGGGGGCGAAAGTGGGCCGATCGACACAACACTACTGTAGGGAGGTCCACAAACCTTTTGTTTTCTAGATGACCAAACATAACCTCTGAGGCATTTTGGGCCCCACTCCCTAAATCTGCCCCTGATAATATTTTACATCCACATAGCCAGATGATTATGAAAGTATACATACTGCAGGATACATGAGGAACAATAATTACAAAGGGGCAGTATAAATTGTGAGATTAGATATCCAATAAATGAGATTTCTGTTTTTATTTGAAGCTGGTTAAGAAACGAAAGCACTTAATACATGAAGACAGTTCACGGCAATAAAATTCAATATAGCAAGCATTCAATTTTAAAGAGGAAGAAACAATTTGTACAATAAAGAAGATAAAATTCAAATAAGTCTTAGGTTATCATTACATACTAAGCTGGATTTATATAGTATACAAGCAATGAAGCGTTCTGTCAGTATGTTATTTCCGTTCTGGCGAGGGAAGGTAATAAAATGGGTACTTCATCATGTGCGGATGATGCAAACAACGGAATGAAACAAATGCCATGAATAATTCAGAATCCAAGTTAACAACATATCATCCACATTTCATATGAAGCCGACTGGTTGTCAGTCAGTACAGGAAACAGCTAAGGAAACACTATTGGATTTTACATGGATGTGCCATAATAAACCTTTAACGATTTCTGTCTTTTAAAATTCTCATTATAGTATTTGATTATTAACTGTTATGACTTCACACAATTACGTTTGAACTGATACCTCATGCTTTAAATTATGTTACTAATAAAATACAATATTTAGGACGAATGTACTATGAAGTACAGTACAGTACATGCATAAGAACTAGAGCACTGAGTTTATCTGAGTAAAAGGAAATAAGAAGTTAGGCCTAGATCATGGATGAGTAGGAGTGCAAGTGCATACTCAAGTTCATTCGGAGTATTAATGTCCGAGTGGGGATAAAGAGGCACTCAGGTCCTAGAGTACTCTATATCTATATGTCAGAGTGGGGAGTCAAGTGCATACCCTTGGAGCAGTGATGGGTCGAGTGTTAAAAAGGGTGATGCTTTAAGAGGCATCAACATTTCCTGATATACTGAATATAGTCCTACAAGGAATACACCAGAAATGTCTTTAGCCTCTTAACCTGTGAAAGTTAAATAAAACGTTTCCATTTTTCAATTGGCTACAAATTTGTTTTCTTTCTTTTTTTTTTTTATAACTGACACCCTAAACATGTTGATGAAAAAATATGGTACAGGTACACTAAAAGTTAATTTTTGTTGTATTGTGTTTTCTTCATCCTTGATAGGACTGTAAAAACATAGCCTTTTAAATAAAATCCACATTTATTGTTTATTGCCATTAATGCATATATTCCTTGTGAAAATACAAGCCTTTCCTCAACTGTATTTTGGGAATGCATGAATATAGTATCACTATTTTTTACAATGTCCCTGGAATTACAGGAAGGCTTGTTTGATTAATAACAGTTCATTCAAAATCATTCATACTTGAAATATTGATAAAAGATTATGTAAAGTTCAATGTTTAGTGGATTTACTGTTATAAGTTATTGTTATAAGGGACAAACAATTCCCTATAATCCGTTAAAATTGACCTTCCAAATTATTCATTAAGAGAATAAATGGCACACCACAGAGATGAGAATTTCTCAAGTACTGTACTCAGCATTTCCAAAAATGGATGACACTGTCCATAGGAAATAAATAGGCAGATATGGTATCATAAGTGCAACTTAAAGGTTTGAGACTACAATAGGCAGTCATTCCAGTTTAACAACCATTAGTAATCCTAATTATGAAAATTAACCACTATACATATTTTTCAGAATACAGTATAAAGACAACTGACGTGTACTAGAAGTTATTTAAAAACTGCCACCCAAAAAAAAAAAAATTTCTAAAAAATAATAATCAATATGCTTTTGAAAATTGTAATAAGATAAGTATGAATGTTGGTCACAGGAATGGAAAGTAGGGGCAGACTCTGTGACCAACATTCATGTTTATTCAAGATAACATCAATGTCAATTAATGGAACGGAGAGCAGGGGCAGATCCTGGATGTTTACATGTTGTAGAGTAGGACACAAAAATTCTAATCTGTGACCTATACTTGAAAGAAGACAGTTGGGAGTATTTTCTTGTATTAGGGACCAGAGCTCTGTAGTTTAAGACATTTTAAGAATTGTAATATCATTTTATGATTTCACACTTTGAGATTTTTAGGCTCCATGGAAAAAGGGGGAAAGGATGAGCGCCCATTTTGCTAGCCCTGCATCCGCCATGTTTATATTTTACTGCAGGTGTACATCCATTATACTAACAGTACAGTATCCTCAATATGGATGATTTTTCAGTATCAAAGGCACATATTAAAGTACTGTACACTAGCAGATTATAGTTATTTTTCAAAATTTCCTCAAACATGGTTTTTAGCTTAACTAAAACAGTTCATAAATTGCCCATTATATTGCAGAAAAGTAAATAGAGCAAAGCAATAAAAATATGGGCTTCTGTAATTGACTAGCAAATACTAGCAAAAATAACTGTGATTTGCCCAATGGTTATGATGACATCATCATCATATCTATGGACAAATCATACAACTAGATATTTAGGACAGTGCTTAGTTTTCAATGACCATTTTTGAAAGAGGAACAAGTTTTGAAACGATTCAAAAAAGGACAGAAAATCTTGCAAATAATTACCTGGTAACAAAATGTTTTTCCTTTTGATTTCTCATCATTAAAACCACTTAAACATTAGCATGGAATTTGTTGTGTATATCATAATACACAACAAATAACACAGTAATATGTAAAATTAACTAATGAATGATTTATGGTTTGTTTCCAAGATGGATGTCATTTAATTCTATTCTATTTCATTTTCACATTCTAGAAGTCTTATTTTACTACTGTAAAAAAAATACATCATGATACTGATAATTCATTTGTTTAAATTAATTACCTGTAAACTGCTATGGATTATTTAGAAGTTTTGTTTCGTTTCATTTATCAAACTTTCTCAACTCATAAACTTGATGAACGAAATGTGGAATTTTTGTGCTAATACTGTATTATATGTAATGAAATATTTTGTGTCAATAATAAACAATTAAAATAATCAATAAATCAAATCAAATAATATCAATTAATAATTTAATATTTAGTGAGCACATCATTTTTTTAAATTAAAAATAATACATAGATAGTAAGGCAGTATGGTGACCTCTGGATAGGACTAAACCACATAATTGAAGTCAGAATAGCCTAATAAATTACATAAACTGGGCTAAACCATCTTTAATCAAACATTATTTAGCAAACATTCATCAAAAATCAAATTGTAATAAAACTTGAGAAAGTGTAATTAAGATTAATAATATTAATAACATTATTTTAGTTAACAATATGATTAGCATAAATGGTTGTGCAGATCTTCAGAAACTAATATACAAGTTTTATTACAGCAAGACTATTTAATGAAATGTTGTTTCTGACCTAGGGCTTAGGCCTATAAATTTACAAGATGCCAATAAACTTACTGTCAGCAACCGCAATTAGGCCTACGTTTCGGACCACGGAGGTGTGGCAGCGGCGTAGGAGGATTGCCTGGCCCGAAGGCCTAGAAGTCTGAAGGTATTTCAAGTGTGCCTTTAAAATTACAGATTTTTTTAGAAATTCAGAGAGTGAATTACAGCAACTAAAAACAACTGTTCCGTATCTTATAATCAACTTACCCCATTATCGAATTTAACAAACAACAGAGCCAATTCTCTTAAGTTCATCCAAGTTATCGTCTGAGTGCACACAACAACAGCGGTGTTATAATAATAATTCCAGATGTAATCATTTTTATATTTAGCGCCCTCTATACGCGACTTTTGGCCAAAAAACTTCAATCACTAGACTTTTCGATACCCGAATTTTGCCTGTATCGTATTTATTAAACATAGGCCTATTCAGGGGGATCTAGAGAATTTATGACGTGGAGTGGGAGGGGGGTGGCACAATATGTTGGTGAATGTGATAAATAATCGAGCTCTCTTTTCGCCCACTGCTGCATTGCTTGCACTTCCTTTCCTCTTTCCTCTCTTTATATCAAAATTTTCTTCTTTTTTTATTTTTCGTCTTGACTTACACGGGGAGGGGGTAGCACGGGTACTCATGGCACACCCCCCCCCCCTCCTCGGCTGGATCCGCCTCTGATATTCAGAGGTTTTCTCTCCTTGAATGATCAATGAGAGGAAGACACCCAACTCGCCTAGTGTCAAAATAATATAATTTTGGATTCCCTCAATTTTTCGAGACCAAGAGAATGTGAGTGTAAAAAAAGCACGTCCAAACTTAATTTAAGGTTTGTTGAAAAGTTCCTTTGTTTGCACTACCACCTAGGCCTACTCTTCATCATACATTGTACTTTATTTCAAGCATTTCAATTCTAAACATATAATATAAATATCTGATACAAACCTCGAAAGCAATTCAGAATTGCATTGGTATTTGGCTAAACACAATTTAAAATATAGCCTATCCGAAACTTGGGTGAAGGATGGCGATGATTCTAAATTGTTGGAGTTAATTTGGCCTGTTAGTGCAAAGTAAGCAATTGTGACATTAGGTCTATCGAACGTTCTATTTGTTTAAAAATATACATTGTCTTTTAAAATATATACAAAAAATCATAAAAATTAATTTGAAATTAACTTGCTCATTTTGCAGTAGCCTAACAAACAAATTAACTTGAGCATCTGAGAAATTATTGAATTTAAAAAACGTGTACCATGATGGTTATACTGGATAATGATAGTAGAAATAAAATACTTCCAGTGACTGAGTGTTTCTATCAAATGTCGCTGTAAAATTATTGGTAAACTTTGTTTAAATACAAGTATTTCAATGTTCAAGTTGATAGTTTTATGTTACTTCAAAATGAGCATGTTAAATTTCAAAAGTGATTTTTATAATTTTGTGTATTTAGCATTGGACAATACATCTTTAAGTAATATTTGCAGAGAGGCAAGCCATCCTAAGATATCTAAACTGATAATGTCTGGTATATGAAAACATCAGCCTCAATTCATAGAAAAAGTTTCATCATCAATTTGTCAATTCGATATCGCGAGGCGTTCAAAAACTCGCCATTTTGTCACGATCTTCGTAACGTATGTCAGTCCCACGTAGACTTCCTTATATTATTGGCTGCTTTCCGGGATGGTACTATCAATCAATTCTTTCTTTATTCATAAATTTCATAAATGCTAATACAAATAGTACGGTACGATTATGAATGGAAAACCTTTGAAAAAAGTATGCTCTTATGATGCTCTTACTCAATTAGCATCTTTTATTTTGAAACTTCGATCGTAAAACGCTTTATAAATACTGAATATTTTTAATATTTTTAAGCCATATTTCCTAACCGTTACAATTTTTTTCGGGCTGAGCTGATGACGGGTTTTACATAATATCATAACCAATGCTAAGTTATCTAAAATTGCACTACTGAACTATATTGAACACACGCTTTTAGTTAGCAGCTAACATATAATTCGATTATCATAAATACCAGGCCTATTATTTAATATGATCATTACTATTAAGATTACTCTTATTATTATTATAATTATAATTTTTATTATTATTATTGTTATAATAACATTCAAAAATATGACGATACTTTTGAGAACGATAATTTCACGCAATGCCTGAAAACTTTATTAGGCCTAGCCATTGCTAGGCCTTACGCTAAATACATGTTTCGACAGATCCTACTGTCAGTGTACAAAGATTCCATATAAGCAATCTTATTTAAACGAAGTGAAGTTTGTAATGCGTCAATCTATACGTAATTCAACCGTATCATGTTGTAAACACCAAGAGCATGAATAACAATGTATAATTAATGGTAAACGGAATGAAGTAAAATCAGAATGACAAAGTTAAATTAACATGGTAAAGTTGTTTGTTGAGTGAGGGCTGCTCCCATTGAATATGTAATGCTTCCTTTATTTTGAGATGATGAATTGATGGGGCGGAGTCAAGAATACGGAAACAGTCCTTGCTAGAAGTTTGCATGAATTTGCGTGAATTCTTAATAATATGTGAGAGTTATAGTTATTGTTATATTAATTATCACTGTATTCTTGTTATAATTGTTCTTATTGTGATAATTATTGTTATTATTTTTAATTTGATTGAATGTTACTAATTGGTATTAAATATTTTGTTAAATATTATTATTATTATTATCATTATTACTACTACTATTATTTTCGTCATTATTATTATATTAATATTTTTGCAAGTTATTATTATTTATTATTGTTATTTTAGACCTGTTAAAACTATTAACATATATACATTTTTTTTAAACATTAATATTATATTTTCAAAACAAAATTTAATGACAAGAAAGATCGACGTTTCGGGTCCATCATGGAACCATTCTCAAGATCAAGTAAATTGAAAAAAAAAACAAAACTCAAAAATACCAAGCGGAGACAGGAAGTAAGTAATTAATTTACATATCAATAGGGCCTACTGTATGGAGCCATTAGTGGAGCTAAACAATAATTAGCCCTTTTTAGCAGATTAACTAGATAAGAAAGTATAATACATACTCCAAAAATACACGCCATCGTGTTGGGATTCAATATTTCGACATTAATTATGTCATCATCAGGAATGACCTGATTATGACTTAATTAATGTCGATATATTGAATCCCAACACGATGGCGTGTATTTCAATACTTGGAGTATGTATTATA